GTAACGAGGTCTGTAACGAATGTCCGCCGCGGCTCTGTTACAGACCCCTCAAACAAAAATCACTGCCACATCTGCTGTCAGTGTGGCCCAGGGGCTGCAGGCTAGATTGCGAAGCCTTGCTCATTGGCTACTACTATTGTGCAACATGCCCCTGCATGAGCGGCAAAAATCAATCAGCTGGCTGATTTAAGTAAAAACACCCTACAGCTGGCCAAACATTGTCATGAGCAACAATGACAAGGAAGGCAAGCACGCTGCAGCGACGACCCGGCCTAGAAGGCAAAGAGAGCTAGACAAAAGCAGTCCTGGCGGCATAAGATTGAAGGCTGGCCTAATTTTTAAATAGCAGCTTCAAGGCCATACAAGTCAGTCAGTGGCTAAGGAGGGTGCTGTGACCCTGCGACTGCCCAGCCTGGCTTGCTAACAGTGGAGAAGCTTTGCCAAGATGATGCCTGGGTCCGGCAGTCCGAGTCTTGCAAGGCCACGGTAGCTGAGCACTCCAGAGTCACCCGGCCTTGTGAAGCCGAATCTCGCCCAGGAAGCTGCCACTGCTGCCACCAAAATCACCTCAAGAGGCAGCTGAAGTTGTCTGAGTTCCAAGCCACGCTTGTGCACTGCGTACCTCCGTCTAGCTCTGCAGCCAGCCAGCAGCGGCAGTCCTTGGACCTGGTACCTGAATGGAGCGGCAGCAGGTGGGTGAGCCAAGGTGGCTTGGAGACGCGCCTTCAGCACAAGGACCTCCTAGACGACCTTTGGCGGGCGCAGGAAACGGCACTGCCCTCTCACTAGAAGACATGCTTCAGCGGCAAAGCGCTCAAAATCCAGCCAGCTTTTTGTTCAAGCAGGCAGTGCCGCTCAGTTGATGCTGCAGGAATTCGCGCTGCCATTGGCAGGAAGATACTGTACTTGATCTGGCGTTTCTTCCAAAGCTTCCCAGCTGAATCATGGATGGGTGCAGCCAAAGTTGTGTGTGTGTGTGACACCTACCTATTTGAACGCGAAAGCGAAGCTCTGAAACCCGGCTGCCGACTCAAAATTCCGGGCATGCCCTGGACCTGGGGACCTTGGACCTCAGAACCTACCAGTGCCACTGTTGCTCCTGCGAAAAGGCCTGCCCGTCGCCAGCTTGGCCGCCTGCGGCTGGAGGAGGGCCAGCTGCGGCTGGAGGAGGGCCGCCGCCACCTTGGCCACCACCAGCGCCGCTGCCGCCAGAGTAGCCGCCCGAGTACTGCCTGTTGTTGGCCCTGGACGTCTGCATGCCATACATCAGCCCAGGTCCCCAGCGGCAGCACCGAGCAAGATGGAGCTCGAACGGGAACCGCTTTGCGTCCAGGACCCGCGTAAACTTCATGAAAACGGGTGTGCTCCCTATCAAAATGGCAGAGTCCTTGGCAAGCCAACTTAGTGAGACAGCGCTGCAAATGCTACTTGACCCAAACAGAAAAGCAACTGAAAGATGCTGGCTGCTGCCCAGCTGCAAACTTCATCCCGTCCAGGAACAGCCCGAAGTCATCAGCGGTTTCCCCCGTCCACGCGAAGCTGACGTCCATCTTGACCCGGAAGCACCAGTCGTCGCTGCTGCTGGCCCAGTCTCCTTTGAGCACTTCCGCCTGGCAGCAGTGCCAGTCCCATCATGACGCATCAGCCCACCCAGCAGAAAAACTGCCCGCAAGCAAAACACAGTCAATGCCAGTGTTCTAACAAGTAGCTCTGAGCAAGTAGGTCGGGGTCTGGAAGTGCTTGGAGCAGACATCGGCCTGCTGCTTCGAGAAGACGTAGAAAAAGCCATCCGGCGCTGCCCACAAAGTGCGCTGCTCCTGAGAGTACTCCCCGGCAAAGAGGGGCTGGTAGAGCTGCGCGTTGCCAAGCTCCAAGGATCTGGTGGATTTGAGGATCTCAGTTCTCCTGACACAAGCGCGCAGTGAGAGACCACGCTTGAGCGTCAGTTTTTGCACGGCCTCCCTTGTGAAAGCAAAGGCTGCACAAAAAAGCATGCCTCTCGCTAGGAAAAAGGCACGGCCATTTAGTGGTGACCGCCTCACATCTACCTCTGTCAAACTTGTAGCCAAGGCACAGCAGCTGGGGGAAGTTGATTGACAGCTTGATTCCGCAGCTGTCTAGCTTCTCCACGAAGGCCTTGGCGAAGCGCTCCCGGAAGATACTCTGCTCCAAGAACTGGTTATTCCTGACAGGGCGCATGAAGAGACCAAGTGAGCAAAAGGCAAGCAACACGTCACCTCAACAAAAACATCTGCCCTCCTACTTCAGAGACAGGACTCCGACATGACAGCGCTACGTTTTGGCACCGTCTGTCCTGTCTTCAATGCTGAGCTTAGCAGCTCCCTGCACCTGCATTGGCAGCATCCGTGGGTTTGGGGACCTCTTCAGACCTGTGAGCGTCAAAAACTTCTCCGCAAACTGCAGGACATCTTGGCAGTAGAGAGCTGGAGACAGCAGCTCGCCCGTCTCCGCCACGATGGGCAGCCGCCACCCAAGCCAAGATGGATCGTCCTGACGGCATCTCAGCGCATCCAACACTGACACCTGCTACCTTTTCTACCTCACCACGCATCAAAAAAAACCTGAAAAAAGCTGACTTATTCGAGAAGGAGAGTCAAACACCTTCAGCTGGCACCCACGAGCTATGCCGTTGAGGATGTATGGGTGGAGGAGGGCCATCACATGCGTGTCATCCCCAGCTGAGGCAGATCTTCGGACATCAGTGAACTGCTCAACCAGCTCCCGCACAAGGCAGGATAACTTAGTTGCGCTGCTGAAAGAAACGTCATGCGCTGCAGCTACTATGGGAAGTCAAGCGTGAGCAGCAGAATGCAATGACCTAGTAGCAGCCAAAACCCCAGGGCCTTGAGTGCTGCCTAGCTGCGACAAGGTACTTCTGCGGCACACTGTGCCTTGGAGGAATCTGCTGGAGCACGTCCTTGCACCGCTCCAAGAGCAACTCGTCAGGCGCCGGGAAGACTGGGCGGCAGGGGGGGGTTGGCTTGCTTGGCTCGCTCAGTCAGTGCCCCCCCCCCCCCAAAAAAAACTGGAAAAAACTTGCCTGGTTTAGCCCAAGCAGCGCACACAAAGCTCTCCCAGAGACTCGTCGGTCCGTTGGCCTTCAGCATAAAATGATGCCCGCATGATGTCAAAGCCTCCGAAGCACCACGTGAAGATCTTGGCGGTGTCGTACGTCTCCCGGAGAAAGGACGGGGCGTGCATCAGCGACCTGCGGCGCTGCGGTGCTGAAAGCAAAATCAAAAGACGTCACTGTGCCACAAACAAATAGCCAAAGATTTGGCACCGCTTTAAAAGACTCACACTTGACTGAAAGCTGCAGCCGGCTGACGCGCAGTGCCCTTGAACATCTTGCGCCCGAAGCCGCAGAATCCCAGGGCACAAGGCATGCGGGGGAAACACCTGCAAGATGATGTTCTCCTGCTGCTCATGCTGGCTGCCAGCGACCAGCGAGATTGGGCCAGGGCCTGGCCCAGGCGCTGCCTGCTGCTCAGCGACGCCGCTGTCGGCACGGGATGAGCGCGGGCTCTCAGCCGCCGCGGCCATGGTTAGACCCTAGGACCTGGGACCTGGGGCCTTAGACTTCAGCGCAGCTTGGGCCTAGCTCTTTCAAAGGTGTGATGACCAAGATGCTGCGACCAAGTCTGCGCTCACAACGGCAAGCGTGCAGCAGCTTAGGCTCCAGGCGTGGCCGCGGCGAGACCCGCGTGATCACCACGCTCACACACTGCTGAGGTTAAGGCGGCGAGGCTGAGCGATCCCCCCAAGAAACCCTGAGGACATGCTGGCAAACACACAACACACACACATTCACCAAAAAAATAAAAAAATGTTCGAAATGACTACATAGATTCAGGTTTCGGGTTTCGGTTTGGGAGTTAGGCTTTCAGGCTGAGGTCGGGGCTTTAATTGGGCTTACAGTTCAAGCTTCAGGTCAGGGCCCAGCTTTGGGGTTCGGTTTAGGGGTCGGTTTAAGGCTTAGGTTGGGGCTTTAATTGGGTGTCAGTTCAAGCTTTAGAACTTAGGTTAGGGCTTGAATTTAGTTTTAGTTTGGGCTTCAGGTCAGAGCTTAGGTTTGGGGGTTTGGTTCAGGATGTAGGTTTACTGTCTCCGGAACCGGTTTAAGGTTTAGGTGTAGGCTTCCGTTTGGGGTGTACGTTTATGTTTAGTTCGGTTTGGGAAGTTCAGAGTTTAGGTTTCGGTTGAAGGCTTAGATTTAGGGTCTAGAAGGGTTGCTGTCTGTTGAACGGATTAACACGCATTGCGCTCAGGAACGCTGTTGCGCCAAGCATATGGGTATGTGTCACAAAAAAAGGGAGACCCCCCAAAATAGTGGTCTTCCCTTCAGTTTCCCGTTGAAACCACCCCAAGAAGGGACCCTCAAACAAGGACACACATATCCATCTGGTGTATTTTTCGGGTTTCCTCGTGGTACAAAGGCGCGCCCCGTGGAAAGCTCGCTCGAACTTTGGGCGGACTTTTTCGCCCGGCAAACGATGGGCCCCTGGGCTGCCACAGCATTACCCAAATAATCTCAGAAACAGTATAACAAATATATAACTAACATCCATGGTATTAAACACAATTTACACTAATGCAACATCATTGGCTTTTTCATCACTAAGACTAGTGTTCAATAGGACTGCCGTTTTCTATTTCTTGAATAGAGAGGTGTTTGCAGGATCTACCATGCCGTGGGATCCCCACATGTCACCTCAACGAGGCCTTTCTAGTCATACTTGACCGACTTCCGGACCCTCCCAAGCGGAATGGCCAGGAAAAGCCCAGACCAAAACGAGGGGCCACCAAGCTTCAGACTAGGTCCTCCAGATTTGAGAGATTAGAATAAGTTGGCACCCAACTTTCTGGTAGGGGAACTCCCAACCAAAAAAGGGATGAGAAAGGGCACTACTGGGGCATCTAGCAGAGGTCCGGAGTCTCTGGTTGGAAGTGAGGTGTACCTAGGGTAGGGGTCTTGGGTCCTTCTCGAACTTGACGTTCCGCCAGCTGTTCCAGTTCCACTCGGTGCCTGGCAAGAAATCGACCAGCACTTCTTTTTTGGGCCACCGTCCAAAGTTTGAAGCGAACCGAATCTGCAGAAATCCACGTATTTAGAACCAGGGATGTCCGTGGATGGGAACGCTTTGGGGAGTTTATGCGATCATCTTTTTGTTTTGCTGCATGCTTTCTGGAACCAGGTCCTTCATTCATGTGGCGTTTCTTTTCAGGTTGCTTTTTTTTCAAGTGTGAAGGGAAACCGCCTGAAAGTGCTTACTTTCCCATGCATCTCCCTTATGTCGAGGGAAGCCACCAGGTTTCTCAAAATAAAAATAGGGCCCCTTTTAAAGGATGTTTTTTTAACGGGAAACCAAAAAGAAAACTACGTGGCCAACACATCTGTGATGTAATGTGGCCCCTGAGCTACCCGAATCGTCTCAAATAAAGGCCTCGAAACTGGAAACCGGCTTTTGCATAAAATTGGGGGAGCGATGCCTCCAGGTGGAACACTTATGAGCAACTCAAGCGCACACATGCGGCCACACTGGAACGCTGCCGGACTCGACTGAGGTGCATATCCTTGACCAAAAAGTACTAGGAGTGTATGGCCAATCTGTCGTCACCAGCTTCGGGGACCCCACCGAAATAGTTCCGGCAAGCCTTCGATCAGTCCCACTTCCGAGGCGTTCGAGCCTTTCCCTTCAGGTTGTTTCAAGCAAACCCTGGAAGAGGTGGGGGTTTCTTTTACGGCGCCCTCAAAATGCCCGCCGCGTTCATTTGGGCTTCCCTTTAAACACAGGAAAGCCCACAAAATTGCGCTGGCCCTCCTCCTCAAAACCCAAAAAGGAGCACGCCCAAAACAGGGCCGTCCTCAGATCCCTGCCAAAAGTTGGACGTTTAGTTGTGTGGAAACCCCCCACTAAACCAACTAAAAAGCTGAAAATCTAAGGAACCGGACGGCTAGGAACCACCCCATTTGAGTCACAATCAAAACCGATTCGGTATTAAAATGGTCGACCCAGAACCATGTGAAGAATTTAGAAGGCGGAGATCCGCAGCTATGTTTTGGCTGGGCTTTGCCCTTACTAACCTTCATCTAATTGCCCGGGTTTTGAGTGTGACTCATTTGTCCTCCCTGTTCACTCGAAAAACTTGCCTTTGAGCCAAGCGAACTTCTTGGAGATCTTGTCCGACCTAAGGTCGAGATCTTAACCCGAGAAACAAGCGAGCAAGCAATCAAGCAAAGCAAACAAACCGCCAGACACGCAAACAACACAAACGACCCGGCGGATCGAAATCCGCGCTCGTGTTTTGCCGCTTTTCGGAGAAAGCTTGCGTTTCACCTCAGCGAAACGCACCTTGAGTCCCCCAAAAACCTCCCACAAAAAGCCCTCAGTTTTAGAGGCGTTTGGCGTTTCGCTGAGGCGAAACGCAAATTGTATCGCCCATTCCTTGCCTTCTCCTTTTTCACATCTGTGCGATCGCTACGACAGCTCGCTGCTCCACATCTCGCTGGCGCCACTTTACATACAACAGGAGATGCGGGCTGCACGAAGGCAGCAAATTTGGGACATATGCTTGGCAGCTTGACCAAGGTAGAGTGTATCGCGCCAATGTGGCAGACGGACGACCTTTTCGCGTCCGTGAAAAACATCTTTGGTCAAGCGTGCTATAACGAAGCGGTCGGGCGGGTGCGCTTACCATGGTCAGGCGTGCGCGCAGTGTTATAACGTAGCAGTCGAGCGGGTGCGCGTACCGTCGTCGTCAGGCGTGCCAGCAGTGTTATAACGCAGCAGTCGGGCGGGTGTGCTTACCATGGTCAGGCGTGCGCGCAGTGTTATGACGCAGCAGTCGGGTGCGTGTGCTTACCATGGTCAGGCGCCGCGCGCGCAGTGATACAACGCAGCAGTCGGGCGGGTGCGCTTACCATGGCGAGGTGTGCGCGCAGTGTTATAACCCAGCAGTCGGGCGGGTGCGCTTGCCATCGTTAGGCGTGCGCGCGTGCAGTGTTCTAACGGAGCAGTCGGGCGGGTGTGCTGACCATGGTCAGGCGCGCGCGCAGTGTAATGACGCAGCAGTCGGGCGGGTGTGCTGACCATGGTCAGGCGCGCGCGCGCAGTGTAATGACGCAGCAGTCAGGCTGGTGCGCTTACCATGGTCAGGCGCGCGCGCAGTGTTGGAACGCAGCAGTCGGGCGGGCGTGCTTACCATGGTCAGGCGCGTGCAGTGTTAGAACGCAGCAGTCGGGCGGGCGCGCTTACCATGATCAGGCGTGCGCGCAGTGTTGTAACGAAGCAGACACCATGGTCAGGCGTGCTATAATGAAGCAGAGCGGGTGCGGTTATCATGGTCAGGCGTGCGCACAGTACCAAGGCCAGGCCGATGCAGTGGTGCGGGCGTGCTATGCAGGGTTGCAGGAAAAAAGTGCACGCCGTTGAGCGCGGTCTCTGGTCCGCTGGCAAAACAAACGACAAGAAACAAAGAGACACAAAACGGAGAAACGAAAGCAAGCAAACCAGCAAACCAACAAGCCAGCCAGCCAGGCAGCCAGCTAGCCAGCCAGCCAACGAGCCAAAGAGCAAGCAAGCAAGCAGGCAGGCAAGCAGGCAAGCAGAACAACCAACAAACCAACCAAACAAACTGACTAATTAACAAGTTGACAAACACACAAACTAAGAAACTGACACTCTGGCCGACCGGCCGACTGACCGAACGACAAACAAACACACACACACACACACACAAATAAGCAGACAGTGCAATAATGCAACCGAAGGCCTAGCAATGCAATGCACACGCAATGTCAGCATCACACACACACACGCACAAAGTGCGAACCCCCCCCCAAAAAAAAAGGAAAAGAAAAGAAAGCAAAGCACAAACGCTCTACGTCAGGGTGCATTGTTGCTTTAAGACAAAAAAATCAGGGCCGCATGTGGGCATGTGTCAAAATACGGGGACACCCAATTGGGGGTGTTCCTTTTTTGCCAACCCCAAGATCCCCTCAAAAAAACACAAGACTTTCGCAGCCGGCGGACGGAATTTTGTTTAGCCGCTAGGATTGGAGGCAACCAGAGCCTTTCTCAGGTGGCCGGAACCGGATTTCAAGCCAACATTGATTTCCTGAGATATTCTTATTTTTTGCGGTTTAGAAACACACCAACCATAGACTTTGTTGACATCGCCTGCTTTATTTTTTTGATGATTTGAGGTTCACGACATATTGACCAGAATTCACGTTTTCTTTTGGTTGACGACTGAGGTAGAAACATGTGAAGCTGTCCGCAGGCTAGAACTGGAGGCTCTTTCCCATGCAGGCGCCTCTTTGAATGGAGGCTTCGGACTGAACCTGGAGATGTTAGATGACTAGGCAACCTAGATTACACGTCCCGCCTTTTGGCTCCAAGTGTTCAAGGATCCGTCTCAGAAAACGATCCAACACCTTTGGATGGGTTCTACAAAGAAGGATGGACAAAAATAATGTTTTGCTAAGACTTCGGACACGGCTGCAAATGGCCGGTGGCGGTGTCATCGGTTTTGTCCCCAAAGGGCAGGTTGCTCTTTACTTTGGTGTCCCTTTCATACAAAGACATAGCCGGCCTCGCAAAAATAAGTTCGACCCCAGCCGGCAACCTCAAATGGGAAGTGGGGGCCTTGCTGAAGGAAAAGCCCCTGGTGCGCGGGGATCCCCCGGTTAGGTTTGGCTCAAACCTCGCGATGTGCAAAGCCGCTATCGCACCTCCACCGCCCACAGCCTGGGCGCCACGCGTGCCCTTGGGCCACTTGATGGGCTTCTCCCGGCGGCCTGGTGAAAAGAACGGGCCGGCAAACCTTGGAACAAACAAAGCCTGGAGGCGGTACTTTTGGACGCCAAGCCTTCCAACAAACGCTTTAGGGTCCCTCATGTGTTTGTGTGTCTCGTGTTCGGGCGCCCCGGAATTGCGGTCTTCCTTCCTGCACGCCCCAGGTTCATCTCCGCCTGCCCCTGCCTTCAAAACGCCCTCTCAGGCGCCTGGCCTGACGTCCTTTTTTGCTTGCCACCCGCTCCTGTTTGGGCCACACTCCGCTAGCATCCAAGCAAACCGCACAAATCTGGCTTAAGGCAATCGTCAGCGCTGTCTGCCAAAACAGCAGCGTGAAGTGTTGCACTTCCACCACTGAAATTGGGCCGCGCTCGTAAGCTCTGTACACAGAGTCGGGCTCTGGGTGCGTCTCAAGTGGTCGTCTCAGTTGCCCTCAGGACCTGGAAATCAAGGTTCACTATTTGGGACAAAGACTAAACAAATAGACCAACCAAAAAAACCAAAAGGTCACTTGCCCTTTCTTCCCCAATCGAAACTCGGTTGCTTTCTGCTCCCCTGCTAAAAGTTTATTTGTTTAGTGGTTTAATGCAAAACCCGTTAGTTTGCACAAAGTTAAAAAATGCACCAAGGGAAAGGGGTCGCTATTTCGAGACATCCCCTTCACTGTACACGCGGCCGACGAAGGCTCTGCAGAGCAAGGAATGCCGCCATGTCCTGCCGATGGGATGTGCCCATGGTACCATCTGCTTGAAGCCAAGTTGTGCAGGCCTTGCGTATTTTGATAGATGATATACTTCCTTTTGCTTAAGCCCCTGGAAAAAAACAATATATATATATATATATGTATTAAAAAAATAAGCTCAGGTGATATCCCCAACAGCATGCAGTGCTCTTTTTAGTGCTCACACCTCACAGCCCTCGCAAAACCCTCGTGGAACCTTGGTGGAACCCTGGTGGAACCCTGGTGGAACTCTGGTGGAACTCTGGTGGAACCCTGGTAAAACCCTGGTTGAACCCTCGTGGAACTCTGGTGGAACCCTGGTAAAACCCTGGTGGAACCCTGGTGGAACCCTCGTGGAACCTTACCTCAGGGCCACCCCGGACCACCCCGGAGCCTATCTGGGCTGAGACCCCAAAGCTTTCAGCTGTTGGGGAAAAATCCAGTAGTGATCGATTCCTTTTAAAACCACAGGGAAATATTCATAAACAAATGGAACTATATGCTGTAGGAAAAAAATAACATGTACGGGTGAATGCTTGGCTGGCCGTGGTCATTTCATCCCACAAACGCTACAGTAGCAGCATAACAGATCGAAACTCCAGGGGTGCTAATAAGTATACGCCTTGCCCCAACTCAAGACCACTGTCACCGCGTGAACTTCATGGTGCTACTAGCTTTGTGTGTCTTCACTATGAACGCTCGGTTTGTCTTCGTCAATGCGCGTTCATTGCCATGAAGTGTGCTCTCTGCGACGTCTTGATGGATGTGCATGTTCTCTCGGTTGCTTTCTGCTCCCCTGCTAAAAGTTAAAGTCCTAACATCGTTCATTATGAGTTCGCTGAGTGTGCTCCCTTCGGGATGGAGGCTATCATTGCTTCTCGGGAATGCTCATTCAGGTTCACTGTGACTAGGTCCTCCAGTGGAGAGGTTAGAATAAGGGTACCAACTTCTATTTTAGTAGGGGCAAACCCTCCCCAAAAAGAGAAACGGTACAAGGGCACTACTGGGGGACCTAGGTGAGGTGAAAGCTATCATTGCACAATGCGCAATACCCCATATGAGTCCCTTTGACACGCACGCTATCATTGGTGTACGCAGGTTCTGGTGAATGTGCGTTCCTATGTGCGTCTGAGTGTGCTCCCTGTGAAACCTCCTGCATACGCGGCACAAGCCCCACCCAGGAAAGGTTCAAAAGGGTATGTGTCAAAATGGGGAACCTCCCTATAATGGTGCTTGTCCTTTATTTGATTTAGACACGACCTCAAGAATGGTATACGTACCATACGTGCCCTCAAAAACCGGCCCTTAGAAGTTCTAAAGCACTCGCTGTTCTGAGAACCTGCGGGCAAAGATAAATCGTGCTTTTGTCAAGAGAGAGGCGATTGGCTCCAAATAGCTGGAAGGTCGATCCCAACATGTCGAGCAAGGCCACTTTGCGAGGCCACAATGATGGGTCTTCAAAAGTGTCGGACTCGTTTGGACATTGCAGGAGTCCCCCATATTCTGACACTCCCCAAATGACCTCTGCACGTTCCGCATTCTTTGGACGGAAGCTGAGGCCAGGGCCACACTCGTTGGTTGAAAAGCTGCGGAAACCGGAATCATGCTGCGAACTTGTTGCTAGGTCCTCCAGTGGAGAGGTTAGAATCAGGGTACCCGATTTTTTTCTGTAGTCTATTTTAGTAGGGGAACCCTCCCAAAAAAAAAGCGGAGAGAAGGGCGCTGGGGGACGAACTTGTTGCGAACGTTCAGGAATCATAACCCCCAGAAACCGTCGCCCAAAAAATAACAGGAACAGTCGGCGAGCTTGAGCCGACCCAAGTGAAACTCACCAACTGCAGCGGGCGTCGCTCGCTCGAGCCCTCTGTCCTTGGCCTCATTCTTGCTGCGACCTTGCGCCTGGCCAAGGGAAACGTCGCAGGGCCGAAGGGAAACGTCGCAGGGCCGAAGGAACAAAACCACAACTCGGTTCTCCAGTAGAGAGGTTAGAATAAGGGAACGCTTTTGTCTCTATAGTCTATTTTAGTAGGGGAACCCTCCCCCCAAAATGGGGTAAAAGGGCACTACTGGGGAACCTAGACAAGTTGAAAACAAACCGAGCACCGCCACCAACAACGGCAACGACGACAGCAGCAGCAGCAGCAGCAGCAGCAGCAGCAGCAGCAGCAGCAGCAGCATCAACTCATGCTGTTCAAATACGAAAGGTTTAAAGGATTCTCGTGGTAGAGAGCGGGTTCTCTGACCCTGTCGCCAACAGGACACTGTGGCCATGTGGTTTTCACGCACACGAGACACTGCGGTGTTCACGGCTGTGCCACTCGCCTGAACATGTTGAAAGGACTCCAGAAACTTCAACAAGAACAACTAGGTCCTCCAGTAGAGAGCTCAGAATAAGGGTACCCAATTTTTTCTGTAGTCGATTTTAGTAGGGGAACCCTCCCTCCAAAAAGGGTAAAAGGGCACTACCGGGGGACCTAGTAACTTATCAACTGACTGACAGTGCGCAAACCAAACCAACCTGACGCGTCCGAACAAACGGACAAAACAAAAAACAAAAACAAACAAACAAACAAACAAGCAAACAAGCAAGCAAGCAAAGCCCAGCTTTGTACGAAGTACATCAGGAGTTCCAGCGCATTGCCCTGCCTGATTTCTCGCACGCTCCCGATACACCCGCGTCCAAGCCTCGGGGTATCTGACACCCTGGATGACCGCAGACCTCACGCGAGCCACGGGTGGTCGCGGGTGAAATCCGTGGACGTCTTTATGTGGGGGTTGATCAAAAGGTCCTTTAAATGGGATGACCATTGGTTGGAGAAAACCACTAAGATGATGATATTTCCCGCTAAATGGGAAAAGTTACCCACTAAGATGATGATATTTCCCGCTAAATGGGAAAAGTTACCCATGGTCAACCCCCATGTCGTGATTTATGACCACCGATTCTTGTTAGACAGTGGCAACTGGTAAGATTCAAGCCAATCTGGCAAATGGATCCCAAAAGAAACCTCAAAATGGTTCTCTCTGTTCACTGACGGAATTTTGTGCGGAATGAAGGACGCCCAAAAACTGCAAAAAGTAAAAAACAAAAAGTAACCCTGCGGTTCAAAGGCTAATATAACCACCATTATTTACCCAGGAGTTTCATCCACATTGGGTCGAGGAACCCTAGGGAGTATTTAATTAAGGAGTTTCATCATCCAAATTGGGTCGCCAATGGTCCCCATTCTTTTCATCGGGGCGATGGTCTGGCAATTTATTCTGAGATTCCAAGTGAAAAATTCCATGGGAAACCAAGGGTTGAGTAAGGAATGGGAACTCAGTTGTTCAGTGACCCTGGGAAAAAAGGACACCCTTTTTGCAGAAGACCATTTTTAGTGGGGCAGCCACGCAAAAATAAGCTCAGGCGATATCCCCAACAGCATGCGGTGCTCTTTTTAGTGCTCGCACCACCCCGCAGCCCTCGCAGAACCTCGTGGAACCCTCGTGGAACTCTGGTGGAACCCTGGTGGAAGCCTGGGGGAAAAGGGTGCCACTGAACAACTGAGGAAACACTGACTTGTTTGTTTTTGGGGCCTTCTCCTTCTTTCCCCCTCCCCCAATAAATCGCGTCGAGCAGACACTGTGCGCTATCGCAAAGGCAAAACAAACGAGCTTCAATATTACCGCCTTGCCGTCAGGTCGCACAAAGTAGGGAGCACTGTTCTTTCTCCATACGAAATCGTACCCCTTTTCCAAGCATCTTTGACCAACAGAAAGAACAGCTGGCGTGCTCGGCAAAACATACGGAGTGACGACCTCGTTCAACTGATCAATGGAGAAGTCCGCAATCTTGTGTGCACAAATTGAGGCCCGGGCACGCGGAAGCACGGCAGGTGGCTGGGGCCGGAGGCCTTCGGAGTCCGGCAGCCCTTGGACGTGCCCTCAACACCAAGCAAAGTACCCGTCCTGAGATAGAAATGAAATATGGCATCTCTCACTCACCCTTCATCTTGCTGTCAAGACTTACCTGAAACCAAGCTCCAACGAAGCTTCCCGATGTGTTCCCAAAGAGTTGCGCAACAAATTCGATTCTAACCGCCAGGTCTTCAAGAAGAACCTCTGCCCTAACGCGCGGAAGCCCCATGAAACCGGTCTCAGCCAAGGCGATGCCCAGATGTCACCGGGCAAGGCAACCTGAAGTCGAAAAAAAAAAAGAAAAAGGAAAAAACACGTCTTCATCTGGCTCGAGGTCACAAGTTGTGTGTCCTTTCATGAGTTGAGAGATGCACCCGCCATTTGCCGGAAAATCTCGGCGCATTCTTACTTGGGTGGCCCTGACTGTGCTCTAACAAGCCCTGACTGTGCTCCAACAACTGGGTCCCTTTGGGATGGCATACACATGATTGTGCTTTGGAACAAGCTGGAGCCCGCTCAGAACCAAACCCGCCTTCCGAGCGAAAGTACCAAACCGGTGCCATCCTCTAAGTCGAGGAGAGGACAAATGGGTTCTCAAACCAGTGGTCCCCCATGGTTGGTGTTCTTTCGGTTTTCACCAAATGAGCTATCCAAAAAGAGGACCCATTTTTTTTGAGAAACGCCTCATTTTCGCCCAAGACCCAACCGACCCCTCCTCATCGTGGAAGGAGAGAGTGAAGCCTTGCCTGCGCGGCAAGCGCGGGGGGGGGGGGGGGAGTGAAAAGCAAAAATAATATGCTGCGAAGGGATTGGCTCTTTTTGCAACATATATCTTATCCGTTGCGATCTAGATTTGGTGCTTGTCAATTCAGAATTTCTATCATTCGAGGCACATTGCCCGATCCTCCTCGCCTCCTCTTAAAATATTCCTAGCGGGCGTTGAAGAAGTCGGAAGGCACAGCTAACAGTCTTTTGAGAGGGGACCTAGACACCCCAGAAGACATCTGTAAGATCCAAACCAAGTCTCCAGGCACACTTGCTTCGCAGTCATGCAGCTGGGGCTGGAACGCCTAATCAACTGAAACCCACCAACCCGCAGTGCACCAATTCGCCCGGCGGGGTGCGGCGCACTCAACATCCCACGTACTGAACCCGCAGCAAACCAACCAACCAACCAACCAACCAGCCAGCCAACCAACCGGCCTGCCAGCCACCCAACTACCCAACGACAACCCACCCCCACCCACCATCCGCCCACACATTATATATAAACATATATACATATATATATATATATACACATCCGTAAATAATTATACAAGCGCACACACACACAACGCACCCTCTGCCTCTGGCAATACATCTGCAGCTCCTGCGGCCGACTGATCAAAATTCACCCGGATTAGACTAGGTCCTCCAGAGAGGTTTAGAACAAGTTGGTACCCGACATGCAGTCTATGTTAGTCGGTTGGAACCCTCCCAACCAAAAAAGAAACAGGGGAGAAAGGGCACCAGTTGCTGGGGGACCTAGTAGAGAATGGGGCCATGTCACCCTATAAGAGTCTAAATCGAATGAGGTGGAGAGGTTGAAACCAAATTGCGTCGTGTTCATAGGACAATCATGTGTACCAGTGTACTATTGTTCGGCCCCCTGAGAAAACTAATTCCGCTTCCATGGGCAGATTGTATGCCCAGATTGGAGGGGGGCAGGTTCCGTTGAATTGTACAAGCAAGAGACCTGTGTGCGCAAGGCCGGTTGCGCGAACTCAAGGCAAACCCTGTGACGGGAAAATTGCTGTTCCAGCAAAAAGAAAAGCTTGCCCGCCTTGGAGAACATCCGGCAAGCGTGGTCGCTTGCACCATGTACCCTCCCTCCGCCCGACATTCATCTTATCTGATATGGTTGCCAGCAAAAAGAAAATCATATGTAGAAGTATTGAACAAGCAGCAAACCAAAACCTTAATGAAAGGTGGGGCCACTCAGACTACTCTTTCACAGCATCAAAGCAGCAGCGCGGGTTCGATGGCAAGAGCAAGTGCCTCTCAAGATTAGCGGTTTCCGTCTAAGACCTACTGGGCTGTTCCAAATGGAGGGTTGGCCAATCCATGTTTCCATAATCCCTTTAGGCAACCACTCCAAAGGGGCAAATCCTTGCGTAACCCACTGCGCGCTACCTTTGAACAGCCCCAGAGACGTCCATTTGCTTAAGCCCCCTGGACAAAAATCAACATATGTCCAGTAGTGAAATCGATTCCCTTTAAAACCAGGGGAACACAAACAATGTTCATTTCAGCAAATGGAAGACAAGGAATCACTTCCTTCCGGTGTCCATGTGAAGCCCCGAAAATGGAGACATCCGAAACTGGGTATGTGTCAAAATAAGGCCGAGCCATCCAAACTGTTCTTGCGGTCGGCCTGGCGGTCGACCCCCTTGGGCCTGGGGCCGGCGCTCGCCTCAGGTTTTCGGGCGCGAGAATGGGTTGGGGGGGGGGGGGGCTTGGGGCCGGGGGCAAAGCAGCCAAGCATTGGGCCATGTCTCAGTTGTTTTTTTAGAGAACCCCCCCAAAAAAACACAACAACTGTGGTTTCCTTGCGGTTTCCCAAGAAAAAAAGAAGAAAACAACAAAGAGGCTTGAACTGGCTCCGTTGGTCAACATGGATACGGGTGGCTTGTCTTTCTTTTAGAGGGATCCCCAATTGTTTATTTTTTCTTATCTGGCTCCATTGGTCCAAAAGGATTTTGGTTTTAACTGGCGTAACATGGATATGAAGTACGTAGCATGTACAACGGATGAAGCTCCATGGGGTGGGGGTTCTTGGCCTGTCACACAAACTAAGATCTTCAGTTTCTGCTTCAGATTTAGTCTTCAACCTGCTGAGATGTCTTTTTTAGAGCAACGGTGTTCCTTTTGGTTTCCCTTTGACAGACCCACGTGGGTGTTCCTTGTTTCCATTTCCCAGGCTTCCATTATGGGTCCTATTTTTGACCCACACCCAAAGTCTTTGAACAGTTGGCCCAACCCTGGAATGGTTCAAAGCATGTGAGGCCTCTGAATGCGTGGACGCCAACAAACACCAAGGCCGCCAAGCGCAGGGTCGCCAGTTCCCAGCATTGCGCTGAGTGGCCACTTATCATTTTGCTCGCAGAGAAAACGCAAACAGAAAAAGAGCACGGTACAGGCGCCGGCACCATGTTTTGAGGTCACAAGATTCATGTGGGCGCTTTGTTTCCGGGTACCCTTCTTGGGGTTGGTTTCAAGGGCAGCCACAAAGAAACTACCAACTCTAGGTTTGAGGGTGCCCTTTTTGGGGTCGGTTTACAGGAACCCCAAAAGGACACCACTAACTTCAGGTTTGAGGGGTACCCCTTTTTGGGGTTGGTTTAAAGTAAAACCAAAAGGACACCGACAAACTGTGGAGACAAACCCTGTGCTTCCTTGGCAGTTCGGATTCCCATTAAAGACACAAGCAATTTTGGGCTGTTTTCAGATCCCTCTGCTAAAAGTGAATAACTTTTAGTGGTTACATTTGGGTGTGGCTCAAAATTAAACAGGAGGGGTTACGCAGGTTTTGGTTATGTTTCCACTTACCAGGGTTCCATTTTGGTGCCGGTTTTTTAAGCCACAGCCATTTGGAAGCCCAAGCACTAAGCCAATTCACACCTCAAACCTTGAGGAACCGGACGGCTGTGGAAGCGCCAAGGATTCAGGGTTCCCCTCCCTTCGGCCCTTCCACCAACCTGGCACCTGGCAGGGACCTTTTTCGGTCCTTCAAGCAAGGCTGTGGGGAATGACCACTTCTGTGATACATTGGAAAGGGCTTCCCAAAAACTATTGTGTTCATATAAAGGGGGATTCCCTTGTATCACAGAAGTGGGGAGAAACTCCTTGATCCCACAACCCTGTTCAAGCCCCCGGCAGGACTCGAGGAGTCGCCGGCCCCTCCCCCGCCGCCCCCGCCCCCGTCGCCGCCCCCGGCTCTGCCGCCAGCACCGCCGCCGCCGCCCTTGCCTGTGCCGCCGCCCCCGGCCCCCGAAGCTGCGCCAACAGCATCCGACGCGCCGAAAGTGTCGCCAGAGCCCTTAAACGCCGCTGGTGCCAGGGACGCCAGCAATGGCGCTGGCGCCAGCGACGGCGCTGGCGCCAGCGATGGTGCCGGTGCTGCGGGAGGAGCTGGCCTTGGTGCCGGCGCCATGACTGAAGGTTCCATCAAGGCAGGAGGCGCTGGCGCCACCGTGGCCGCTTCAGAATCTGCCTCTGTTGCTCGCAAGGTCGCCTCTGTGGCCTGCGTTGCTGCGGCTGTTGCTGCTTCTGGCGCTGGTACTGGCAATGCTGCAGGGTGGCCACCTTCCGGCGCATCTGCCGCGAGCCTTGCCTCCAGGCCCTCTGTCTCCAGAGGTCCTGGCGCGCACGCGTGAGCCCCCGCGTCTGTTTGCGTCATGATTGTGAGGATCAACAGCCAGATGGACCGAAGAAAGCTGTTTGTCCAGTCGTGTGCCGGGATAGAGCCGTGGCCCGAACGATGAAAAAACATTACTTCTGTGCCATTTGCCAAGAACATAGAAGGTCAAGCGCGGAGGGCAAGGGAAGATTGGATCCGAACCTTGCTAGGAGCATGGGCAAAGGGGGTGCTGTACAAAAGATGCTGTCTCTTAATTACTCATTTCCTGCGTGGACTGACCCAAAAAAAGTCCCCGAACTTTCTGTTTGCCACTAAAATGGCCGTCCGCAAAAAAACAAAAAATAAAGAAGTCCATGAACTCGGGAAGTGACCTTAATGTTATGAGAATACGCCACAAGCTGAAAAACCGAAAGGAACCCGAAGCTTCACTCGAAGGACCCGGAAAAAGAAGGTTTGCTTCGACCCGCTTTGGATTCGGATACAACCCCTCCCCCTTTTCCGCTTGCCTGGGAGCATGAAATTTCCACGGCCCTCCAAAAAACAAAAGCTCGAGATGCGCCGCTTGATTTCGAACCAGTCCAAAAACAAGATCGTGGTTGATGTCCGAGTGTTCGGTTTCACTGGATGTCCCCTGCAAGGCTGATCAATTGACCGGTGATTTCTCCACACAAAGCTGATCGAAAGCCACCTTCGGAGATTCCCCGGCGTCTTTACGATCCCGACTTGCGGGGCTAGTTTTATGGTTTTTTTTCTTGAAAGGGACATGGAGGAACTCCCCCCCCAACTCCCCAACTCCCCAACTCCAACTCCCCAACTCCCCCCCGGCCCCAAACCCAGCAAAACGGGCTGCGTGGTCGCTGAAGCGAGCTGCTGGCGCTCCTCGGAGCTGAAGCAACGCGAGCTCCGCGGCCTTGTCCTGCGAGAAGGATCTTCCGACTCGCTCGCTGACGCCGTGGGTTCTGCTCAGACGTCTTAGTCAACTGCATGGATTGATGTCTCACATTTGCTGAAGCCAAAAGGACAGTAGCGCTCTTTTCTCAGCTTCCAGGGTCATACCAGAGGTCAAATCACCAACTAGGGGTCACCCAAGTATTGGGGATAATTTGCACAGTACAAGTACAATACGTCCAAAACCTGAAATAAGAATTGGATCCCCCAGTACAGGATCTTTACCATGCTGAGCTCGTTCTACCCTCCCCCCTTGCGATACGCAGATTGATTGATTGTGGGCAGTGAGCCTCTATGAGGTGTCGTGAGGCTGAGTGAAGTTTGGTGGCCTATCCCTGGCCTCATTATTTACCATATGCTGAAAGTCACCCCCCTGAGTGATGGGTTAAGGGGAAACAACCGATTCCATTTTGTGACTTTGATAACCCCTAGAAACGGTCAAAATAACGACCCCAGTATCCCGTACTGAAAACCTTGAGGGCGCATGGAGCCCATGCGAATGGTCTCGAGATATTTCAGGGAGATGGAACAAACGCTTAGCGAGAGCTCGAGGTTGATCACTCGAGGTTTATCCAACCACAGAATGTGATACAAGGGAATCTTCCCTTTGTATGGCCATGGGTCAAAATCCCGCACCCCCAGTGAACATCCCAATCCAACCACTAAAATAACGCCTAAAATGGGTGGTGCACCTTCCCCAAAACGGTACCATTGGTTTTGACCCACAGCCATACTTGGGCAGCCCTTCTTGTAGCACAGAAGTGGATTCCATCTCCCACAGCCCTGCTTCCTAGCTATGGGACGCCGAAATCTGAGGCTGGTCTCCAAGATCCGTCGTTGAAAATGGGAAGCGCCGTCTATCAAAGGCGCCTCTATTTCATGACGCCCGCGCAAAACGAGGACATGACGCCAAAACCTAGCAACCAAAGGGCCAAAGATGCAATGGATGATGGAGCGGACGCATAGAGCCGTGCCTTTTGGAAGGCAATGGGGCCACAGCCATCTGTTGGCACCCAAGTTGTCACACTGGAGTGCCGCGATGTCCACTCTCAAGTACCAGGAAGCTAGCTCAAAGCAACACCCACAATTGTCTTGGAAGGCCTGGATGTGAATCAGAATTCGATTAATGGTGTCTAGAGAACAAGCTCAGAGATGTTTGGCGCCGCATCGACTCCGCACTTCGACCTAGAACTCAAGGGCCTTCTCAGGCTCGTTTCACCGTGTCGCTCGCATCATGAGCTGGCAGAATCTGCGCCAATGCACCAAGTCAGAGTTCAGGGACCTTGATCAGACCTTGATAGAACAAAAGCTCAGTTTACCTGGACATATTTCTCATGTTGCGCCATTCACCTGACTCCGAAAAGTCTTCGAACCAAAGGGCACTTCCCTTCCAACACCTCGAGGGCACCTGGCTGTGAGGGGCCAGGGCGACGTAGCTGTTTCTGCCAGCATGGTCCCTTTGAGGGTTTTCTAGCTTGAGGCTCCAGGTAATTACTCTTCTCTTCTTTTCTTTTTGGAGGGGATGAAACGAAAAACAAAAGACAACACGGAATCCCCACCCGCCCCCGACTCGCTGTGTCCTGAGCGGCCTGCTTCGTGCCCGCGGCTCCCTCGCATGAAGCTCACACACCGCCGAGGAAAAAAGAATCCGCAGGAGGAATCGCAACGCTCTGGGCCGGACCTCTAAAACAAAGGAAAAGTCATGGATCTTCAGGAAAAATGAGCACTTCCTGGATATTTAAACGTTTCAAAACAAAGGTGACTCATGGGTCTTCAGGAAAAATGAGGACTTCATTGTTTTTTAGTGGTTCTTCTTGGTGGAAAACATTTGAAATCCCGTCCAAAGTGGGCTTCCTTTGAGGGTTCAGTAGGGAGCCACGTTCTGTGCATGGGCCAAAATCATCGGAACTGGACTGCTCAACTTCAGTGATTCCCCTTCAAAAGTTGAAACGATCGAACACCACTTTTAGAGATTCCGTCCAAAAAAGGAACCCTGCATTCAGCGTCCAATTCTTCCATTTGCTGCAGTGCACTGGGGAAAAATGGAGACATACCGGTTTGCCGCGGTGGATGGGTGGATGGGTGGATGGATGGATGGACGGACGGACGGATGGAGGGACCTGCAGGGCTCTGTGGCCAATGAAAACGCCCTTCCCACCATCGCAGACTACCCGGGTTTTATGGCTCAGGCGCGGCCTCAGGGTCCCATGCTTGACCCGATGAGTCCTTGACACAACTATCAGAAGGCACCAAAAGCGCCAGGCTGGACACGTCTACCAAAACAAATCCCAAATGCGTATGGAGCACGAATACCTCTCAACACGGGTCTGACGCCTCTTCATTTCCCCTTACGTCACTCCAGTTTCGTGTGTTTCTCGCGACCATCTCGCACTCCCTCCCCCCCTTCCCTGGCACGGCCTCCGGGTAGGATTCATCTCCAATGGCAACACTCCTCGAATCGGTGAGATGTGGCTAAGGGCTGGCGTCAAGGCGTCAAGAAGCCTCACTCCCTTGGCCGAAGCAAAAACTCATGTTTGTTTCCTTACCACTCGAACGGGCTAAAACCAAAACGCACGACTCACCCGGCCAGGGACCCAAAAGGCGAACCTTACAAACCCGGCCTTTCGAATGGACCAAGCCAGGGAAACCGAAAGCTCAGGGACTTGGGGGACGGGCCGCGGAACGAGGACCCTTCGAAGGATGGCAGATATCTCGTGACGAGGAACCAGCCTGACACCAAGCTCCGTCTGCGTTTAACCAGACCGAAAAAAGGGACAGAAGCTACTAAAGTCATTGGTTGTCATGGAATATGGCTTTGATGTGGGCTTGAATGGATATGGTGGGACTCCCAAATGGGCTCAAAATGGTGGGCTTCCTTCAGGTGTCCCTTTAAGACCACCCAAACAAGACACCGCGCAAAGACGACCGGGCTGTTCTCAGGCGTGTTTGCGAGGACCTTGGGAGATCGAACTGACGTACAGCTCCACTCGAAAGAAGGCGGGCACCAACCAACAGACCTGTTCGAGGACACTCAAGCGGCAGAAAGAGGTGTCAAAGCCAAACAGCCGAATGGTCCGAGCGGCAAAAGGGGTACTTCTTTAGTTTATTTCCAAGGGGGGAAACCAAAAGGAAAACTGCCACTTCCAGGGGGGGGGGTCCCTTTAAAAACCACACCAGATCAAGTACCCTTGATTAGCTTGGATTGGGACGTGAGGATTTGAACCGAGGGTTTTCTTGCGGGAAACTGGCGCAAAGGCCAAGCTATGCTTCGGGTGACCATCCCTGCGGGTTCTTTTCCTCGCCAGTCTTTACAGAGGTCTGTACATCTTCAACTTAATTAGCCCTCCTGTGGGGCAATGGTGCAAACTCAATCTGCAACTTTGCAGGCGTCACAAAAGCGATCGGCATCGGCTCACCCTTGGAGCAGTGCGCCGAACTGAATTCTCGCGCCAAGTGCGCGAGTCACATCTCCAAACGAAGCGGCGACTCGGGAAAGAGGTGGCAACCGCCTTCAATGCCTCAGAAGCTCAGCAGATGCTCCCAAAGTGGTCCTCGTGCAGAATGGCGAAATCGTTCTGGTGCCCATATTTCAGGCTCAGGTGCTTCAGTTCCTGCTCCTCGTAGCACCCGAACTTGTGGCCGCCCTTGAACCGGCATTGCAAGGCGCACACCTGCGCTCCAATCAACAAACACCTGGCCATGAAACCCTGTTGGTGGACATCATGTAGGTGGGGATTCATGTCCACCAACCACTTTTGAGGTGGTTCTTCATTAAAACTCCTAGCAAACGGGTTCTCAATGCAAGGCTAGTTAGTTTTGTACAAGGGATCCTTGTGAATGGAGATCTATCATGTTTTGTCTGCGTTTGATGACGAGTGTACTTTCAGAGAAGGAAAACTAATGTCATGTCCAAACCCCTCATTCAGCCCCGGAGGTTAATTTGAAGGCCTGTCAAAACCTCCTGGCGCATCGTCGACTTGGTTTTTGTTGGTGCCTTCTTTCTGAAAGCTCTGCGTGAGAAGCACCAAAAAACGCGGGGGCAACTTTTTAAGGGATACAACAGTTGACAAGTGCCCCATGTTTATTTTCTCTCCTGTACAGGGGTCACTGGATTTCCTCAAAAGTTGCAGTTGCTTAGCTTCTCAATGGATTCCACTGAAAGGATCGCCACTGTTGAAGGTCCAAAAGAGGAAAGGGAGTGATCCCTGTCTTAAGTGTCTGGTTGACATATGGCCATAGGTCAAAAGCCCGTACCCCCAGTGAACATCCCAATCCCCACTAAAATAGACTAAAATGGGTGGTGCGCCTACCCCAAGATGGTACCATTGGTTTTGACCCACAGCCATATGGTCAGGATGGCCAGGAGAGAATCGCCCACTGCCCACCAGCCATGCCTGGTTGCAGTGCTCATGGGCACTCTGAGATCCGTAGAAGTGGTCGTAGTCCCCAGCTGCGTACAGCAGCGTCCTGCCCCTGTCCGAGCGGGAGCACATGCAGCAGGTCTCCCCAACCGCTCCGTGGCCCCAGCCCCAGTTGCCGCCAGAGCTCCCACCGCCGCCCCAACTGTTGCCCCAGCCACTGCCACCGCTGCCGCCCTGGCTCCAGTCGCCGCCGCCACTCTGGCTCCAGCCACTACCGCCATGGCCGCCCTGGCTCCAGCCGTTGCCGCCCTGGCTCCAGCCATTCCACTTCTTGCTGTTTTGACTCTGGACTGCCTTGGGAGCCCAGCCTCCGCGCAACGATTTGGTCACGTTGGGGCTCGCCTCGGTCAGGTTCGTCCCCGTGGAGTTTGCCGATGGCTCGGCCGCATACGCGGCGGCAACACACACGGTGAGCGTAAGGCAAAGGCGGGTCATACTGAACAGACCTGGCTTGAGCTGGCACGCTTCTTGGGCCACCCCCGGGTACAAAGCAGCAATCCCACGCATGGTCAACGCCATGCACAAGAACTTTCCACTGCCCATCTGGACTCCAAGTCATTTTATCAGAGGATGGTGACTCCTCACAATCAGCCGGACTCAACCCTAAAGCAACCCTTGCCGAGCAAACCGGTGGATACCACGCTGAAGAGACATGCTTCAAGCACTGGCTGAACCGTGCATTGCCAACTCCCAAGGGAGAACCCACCCTTGGAAAGGGGAAGAACTTTCAGACGCAGAACTGAGCGCCTGGCATAACATACACGGCCGCGTTATTCTCCCCGACCTCCTGACGAGATTGAGCCCATAAACTCACGTCGGGTTTGAAAGGCCATGTGTCTGAGTCGCTTCGGGCTGTGTAAATCTCACTGGCTGAGTGGATGGCCCAAAAAAAATCCAAACTTTATATTTACCACTAAAATTGTCTTCCCCAAAAGTTTAAAGCTCATGAACTCAGGAACTGAGAAACTGGGAAATGGGAAACCCTAAGGCTCCCGAGGCCTCGACGAATTGGAGGGTCCTTGCATTGGAGGGCCCGGAGGCCTGCATTGGGGCCATGAGCCTTAGGGAAAGCGGTGAAAGGAAGGCAATGGGAAAAGCGGTGAAAGGAACACCAAATGGAAACGAAATGGGGAAGGAGAAAGCACCGATGTTCGAGGCTTTCTTCCAGCCCATCCCACTGGCCTGCTTTTACCATTCTCAAACTCACCCCCCTTGGTGAAGGGAAACAACGAATTCCAGTTTCTGACTTTGAAAACCCAGCCAGAAACACTAGGTCCTCCAGTTGAGGGTAGAATGCGGGTACCTTTTTTTTTTCTGTAGTCTATTTTCGTAGGTTGGACCCCTCCCAACTAAAAAGGAAACGGCAAAAGGGCACTGCTAGAGGACCTAGAACACCCAAAATGACCCCAGTCCCACACCCCCGAAGCCGAGGCCTTGTCGCAGAAGCGGAACTTCAGCCTTCGCCTTACGCGGGGGACTGGGGGGTAGCAGCAGGTCAAAATCCCGGTTCGCCCCCAGTGAACATCCCAATCCCCACTGACAATAGATTAAAATGGGTGGTGAATTCACCTACCCCGAACATTGGTTTTGACCCACTGCCATTTTGGGGGGACCCCTATTTTGCGAAGTACTCAAACTGAAAGTAAGAGAACCGGCCATGTTTAGGGGGACCCCTGTTTTTGGAGAAACACCTATGACAATGATCGAAGCCGAAGCAATGAAATGAAACTGAACCGTGGGCTGTTCCAAGGATCGGAAGGGTAGAGTTTTTTCCGGAGCTTGGCCCCTGGTAGCCGGAAAATGGAAGAAACCCGTGGCTCTGGAACTTTACCCCCCCAAACACACCTCCAAAAAAAACTTTGGGAAAACCAAACACCCAGCCCTGGCAGGCAGCCCCTTTTCCGGGAGAGCCCAAAACCGAAAGCCGCCCACGCGAGGCTCCGAATCGGTCCACCGATTCGACTTGCAGGGGCGAGGCGCTGGTTGCAAAGCTTCTGGAGCTCCTCGCCGGGAGCTCCACGGGCTTCTTCCAAGTTCAAAAGGTGGGTGGTGGGTGGGTGGGGTGGGGTGGGGTGGGGTGGGGTGGGGTGGGGTGGGGTGGGGTGGGGTGGGGGTGGGGTGGGGTGGGGTGGGGTGGGGTGGGGTGGGGTGGGGTGGGGTGGGGTGGGGTGGGGTGGGGTGGGGTGGTGGGGTGGGGTGGTGGGGTGGGGGGTGGTGGGGGGTGGTGGGGGGTGGTGGGGGGGGTGGTGGTGGGGCCAAACCCACACCAAATCTGAAAACGTCAACCTAACGGATCATTGGCTTTGACTCCTATGAGCCACGATCAACTGCGGTCCTTTAGGAAATCATTAGCCAAACCTCACACCTAATCTGAAAACGTGTGAAGTGCAACTCACAATGCATTATCTGTCTACAGTAATTCTGCACAGTGCCTGATTATGAATCATGAATTATGCTGCATGCTCGGCATGAGCCATGGCCGCTAGGCGAGGCTGCTCAGCAGGCAACTCATTTGCTTCTGCAGCGTCTCGAGCAGCTTGCCATGCTGTCGAAGCTGCCTCGCCTGCTGTCGCAGCTGAGTTGTGGTGATATCCTCCTGCTGACGCTGCGCTTTCTGGGCAGCCCTCCGCCGATCATACTCCTCAAGCGCAGCCCCACCGTGTCCAGCGTTTATGCGTGCAACATACCAGTATTGCAGGAATACAAAAGGCTGAGGATGGAATAAAGTCAGAAAGTAACGGGACGGAAAGGGGCGGGGTGGGAAGGAAAGGAAAGGAAGGTAGGACAGAAGGAAGAATGGGTGCAAGGAAGGAAAGAAGCAGTGGGAACAGAGGAAGGGAGGACAGGGGGAAAGGGATGAAAGAGCACGGAGGAAGAGAAACGAGCAAGAGAAACGAGGAGAGGAATACAGAAGCCAGGCACAAAGGCGTCCCAACACAGAAAGGTAAGGAGGGAAGAAGAGAGCAAGGCACGAAGGTTTCCGAAGACAGTAAGGCAAGGAGGGAAGCTGAAAGGGAGGAAGGGAGGGAGGAAGAGAAAAGAGGAAGGCCCCTGTCGTGTGCCATGATTTTGCGCATGTCCGAAACATTCATGAAACGCCGACCGTGCCTGGAAGGCCTGCTTCTACTCGTCGCTTAGCGTCTTCCAAGTTGCAGCTACCACCTTTGTCGCGGTGGACTGTAGATTGCCCTGGCCAGTTGGGTCGTCCGCCGGTGCCTGTTGTTTTCCTGTGAGCCGAGGCCGAGCCGAGGGCGGCTTTGGCTTTGGCGCCACTTTGGCTTTGGCGCCACTGGCAGTGCCATCGCCTGCGACAGACTCGCACGGCACCTCCATTGATTTGCGGCATTTACACCGTGCCTTGGGTGGCCGACCCGGTCCCCTTTTCTGTGGCGCCGCTGCCACCATCGCCTGCCGACTCGCACGGCACCTCCATTGATTCCTTGCATCACCGACCCCGTTTCCTTTTCTGTGGACGCCGCTGCCACCATCGCCTGCGCGCAAAGGTGGTGGGGGGTGGTGGGGGGTGGTGGTGGGGTGGTGGGGTGTCGGGTGGGGGGTGGGGTGGGGTGGCGGGGGGGTGGGTGGTGGGGGGACCAAACCTACACCTAATCTGAAAACGTCAACCTAACGGATCATTGGCTTTGACTCCTATGAGCCATGATCAACTGCGGTCCTTTAGTTATCTGTCTACAGTAATTCTGCACAGTGCCTGATTATGAATTATGCTGCATGCTCGGCATGAGCCATGGCCGCTAGGCGAGGCTGCTCAGCTGCGTCTCGAGCAGCTTGCCATTCTGTCGAAGCTGCCTTGCCTGCTGTCGCAGCTGAGTTGTGGCGATATCCTCCTGCTGATGCTGCGCTTTCTGGGCGAAGGTAGGACAGAAGGAAGAATGGGTGCAAGGAAGGAAAGAAGCAGTGGGAACAGAGGAAGGGAGGACAGGGGGAAAGGGATGAAGAGCACGGAGGAAGAGAAACGAGCAAGAGAGGCCAGGCACAAAGGCGTCCCAAGCGCCAAGGCCGCATCGAATGACACTTCTTCTTTTTTCACATGATGTGGCGTGCCAACAGACTCGAAAACCCGTTTTTTTCAGGTGAGCCATCCACCCCCGAAATGCCTTCTAAGGCTCAAACTGGTCACCTTCGGACCCACAAGGTGGGGTGAGGGATCTTCAGCTGGGGAAAATATGGCTGACCCTAGCACGTGTCGGGAAACTGAAGGGTGGTTGCTTCAACAATGGCAGTTTTAACATGTGTGTGATTGATTGTTTTCTGGGGCACCCACAAGAAATAGGCGCCTTGCGGTGAACTTTTCAAGCCACAAGAAATGCGCGGTACGCCACTCACTTCCTGATTGGATGGGCCGAAAACAGCTCTTTTTTGGTGAGAGCACAGTAGATGGCCCAATTCCCGCTACGTGGTCACAATGAGTTCACACAACTGCAGTGGTGCAATCACGGGCTCGCGCCTCACCAGCTCGTCAAGAACCTCCCGGTTATTCTTTCTCCTCGGCGCTGCTTCGTTGGGCAACATCCGGCACATGTCAACATAGGGGCTTCCTAGTAATATGCCAGGAAAGCACAGTAGATGGTACAATTCCCTTTTGTTTCTATGACTACCAACCCTGAGGTTGCACCTTTTGGAGCCAGGTCAAGGAAACCGAAACGTCAAGGAGGCCCATGAGTCCTGCCAATTCATGGTGGTGACAGTAGGTGCACAGTAGATGTCAAACGTGTATTTTACATCCTCAAATGTCAGGGCGCTCTATGAGGGAAAACCAAGTGGCGATCCCAAAGTCAAGAAGCAACCTTCTACAAAGCTCTTTGGCTGTAACAACTTCTTACAAGGCGCAATGACTCCTGAGAAGCTGCCCTTTTGCTCCCAATACCAACCCCCCTTGAAACACACACCACCCAGACCTTACAGTAAACTCAAATGTAAGAAGAGTAGATGGCACAATTCGCATGCAATACGCGTTTGAAGCACGATTGGGCGTGTTCTTGTAACACAGTAGATACGGCGCAACCTCTCCAAGAAGATGAGGCCCCCGGCCAAGGTCTGAATCTGTGTCTCAGCCTGGGCCCCAGACAGAAAGGCACAAGGATACAGTAAGCCCCCACATGTCATCAACTGCCTGGAAGTCCAAAACAAACGTTAAGGCCGCATCGAATGACACTTCTTCTTTTTTCACATGATGTTGCGTGCCAACAGACTCGAAAACCCGTTTTTTTCAGGTGAGCCATCCACCCCCGAAATAAACGTCCGAATTGCGCCATCATGCGCCATCTCTAAATGCACTGCCGACGCAGCAATGCATGTTGAGCAGCAAAGTCCTCAAATGATGTGAAGACTGGCAGCCCAGAACTTATCCCGGCATCCTTCCAGGCACTCATCCCATCGAAGCAGGAAGGTAAGGAGGGAAGAAGAGAGCAAGGCACGAAGGTTTCCGAAGACAGCAAGGCAAGGAGGGAAGCAAAAAGGAACCGAAAGGGAGGAGGGGAGGAAGGGAGGAAGGAAGGGAGGGAGGAAGAGAACAGAGGAAGGCCCCTATCGTTTGCCATGATTTCGCGCATGTCCGAAACATCCATGAAACGCCGACCGTGCCTGGAAGGCCTGCTTCTGCTCGTCGCTTAGCGTCTTCCAAGTTGCAGCTACCACCTTTGTTGCAGTGGACTGTAGATTGCCCTGGCCAGCTGGGCGCAACACAAGTGTATATAGATAAGAAGCTGACCTCGCCTGACCCTTTGACACGAGCTGCTGTGAAGCTGCCGCGCGGTGATACTGCCAAATATACCTAGGCACAGCTGCCAGCATCTGAGAGAGTGAGAGACACTAGAGTGATTCCAGCAAGACGAGCCGCCATAGGCGCCACTGGAAGGCAGCGGCTTTGTCAAAGTGCCCTCGGAGTTGCGTCCAAAGACTCCACGATCACTCCTGCGCGCAAACAAGCAAGTGAGTGGGAGAGTGAGAGCGTGAGTGAGAGAGTGAGAGAGTGAGAGAGTGAGAGTGTGAGAGAGTGAGAGAGCGAGTGTGTGAGGAGTGAGAGAGTGAGAGAGCGAGTGGGAGTTGAGAGTGAGAGAGGGAGAGGAAGTGAGAGAGTGAGAAAGTGAGTGAGTGACGGAGTGAGAGAGTGAGAGAGTGAGGGAGTGAGTGTGCTTCTGCCCTCGCTTGGGTCGTCCGCCGGTGCCTGTTGTTTTCCTGTGAGCCGAGGCCGAGCCGAGGGCGGCTTTCGCTTTGGCGCCACTTTGGCTTTGGCGCCATTTGGCTTTGGCGCCACTGGCAGTGCATGGTACCTCCATTGATTTGCTGCATTCACACCGTGCCTTGGGTGGCCGACCCGGTCCCCTTTTCTGTGGCGCCGCTGCCACCATCGCCTGCGCACAAAGGAGCACCCCCCCCCATGAGGCTCCTGCCGACTCGCACGGCACCTCCATTGATTCCTTGCATGGCCGACCCCGTTTCCTTTTCTGTGGCGCCGCTGCCACCATCGCCTGCGCGCAAAGGAGGGTGGGGGGTGGTGGGGGGTGGTGGGGGGTGGTGGCGGGGGGTGGTGGGGGGTGGTGGGGGGTGGTGGCGGGGGGTGGTGGGTGGTGGTGGGGGGTGGGGGGGTGGTGGGGGGTGGTGGGGGGTGGTTGGGGGGGGTGGGGGGGTGGGTGGGTGGGGGTAGGGTGGGGGGGGGGGGTGGGTGGGGTGGGGTGGGTGGGGGGTTGGGTTGGGTTGGGTTGGGTTGGGCTGGGCTGGGCTGGGTTGGGTTGGGTTGGGTTGGATTGGGTTGGGTTGGGTTGGGGTGGGGTGGGTGGGTTGGGTTGGGTTGGGTTGGGTTGGGTTGGGTTGGGTTGGGTTGGGTTGGGGTGGGGTGGGGTGGGGTGGGGTGGGGTGGGGTGGGGTGGGATGGGGTGGGTGGGTGGGAGGGTGGGGGGGGTAAATATGTTTCTTGGAGAGACCAGTGAGGCCTGGAGAGTTAACTCGACTCTTAGCTTCCCTCTGTTGGTTTGGAGCCGAATCTATGGTTGGAATTTGGGGGATGGTTTCCTATTTACCCTCAAATCCGAATCCAGGGCCACCTGAAAGTGGTGCTGATTCTCCCATTCCTATGGCAAAGAAGCCCCGCTTGAAAGGGCCAGATCATCAACTCCCAGCAGGTTGAAGCTAAACCCGACCGCGAGCTGGCTTCTAATGCCACCCAGCGAAAAGAAACACAAGAACACAAGTTCCTTCTCATGCGCAACCGAGCACCCGTGTCATTTTTTAAATACGGTGCCCTCTCTGCCACGTTGCCATGGCAACACACAGGGTCCCTCCAAGAGGAAACTGACCTTCCAGGTGCCCTCCCGCACGCGCCATGTCAGTGGCAGGGGTAGCCTGTAGCCTCTAGGTCCTCCAAATTTGAGAGGTTAGAATAAGTCGCTACCGACTTTTCTTTTTTTTTTCTCGGTAGTCTAGTTTAGTAAGTTGAAACCCTCCAAACCAAAAAAGTTGGGTGACAAAGGGCACCAATTGCTGGCCAACTGCACCCCGCCAGCTGCGCGCCTTCCGGGCGACTCCCTTGGGCCGTTCGGGCACCTGACAGTCGGGGAATTTGGCCCTGGCTTTGATGAATTCTTGTCCATTCGAGAGTAACTCTAGTGCTACCGTCCATGTCCATTCTGAACCCAGGGATCCGGAGTTTCTAGCACAAACCCCCGAGAAACCCAGGGAAACGGATCCGGGTTTTGATAAAAGAACGATGGTTGAAAAGAATGGGGAATCAACCCTTAGATTGGTAGGTCTAACTGAACAAATCAGTGCTTTCCACAAGGTCTAAGGGGCCTCACAAAACCGGCGATGATATGTGCTGACCCTGGCCCTGGCAAAATACTGAGGGGCGCGGTTCCATGAGAGATCCTGATTTGCTCCCAAATGAAGCACCCCCCCTATTCAGCCAGGCTTCTGCTTCATCAACTGGGGTCCCATTGGCCATTTATGCCTCAAAAATAAAAAGAAATGCAAAAACAAGGAGGACCCCACCAAAAGGGCGGCTTGCCTCCTGTTTTTTTTTTTGACAATGATAAGGGCACCCCGATAGGGCACCCGCAAGAAAACTGTTTTCTGCAAGTTTTACCATATGTCCAAACCTGAAACGAGAATTGGATCCCCAAGTAAAGGATATTTGCCACGGTTTGAACTCGTTTTACCCCGAATCGGTGAGCTCGCCATAAAATAGGCAGCCATATGCTTCCCTCTCTCCAAAACCCGTGTTTCGGCAAGCCTCATTGCCATACGCGCCGCAAGGAATACTAGGGCAATACAAAAGCTATCACCCGAGCATTCCCCTCCCTTTACTTCCATTTGCTTAAGCCCCCTGGAAAAAACGATTTCCAGTAGTGATAGAAAAACCAACAGGGGGAAATCAACAAAAAAGCATATTCTTAAGCAACTAGATGTGTAAGGGCAATCGGCGCAGCCTCATTTGCCTTTACGCCCGGCGTCTTCGCCCCCGAAAAAATCTGCCCACTGCCTGCACCGGCATCTCCTGCGCAGGCTGAGAGCCTGTGCCACCGAAGCCAGGGGTTCGGTCTTTTAGTGAACCACGCATATGGGGGGGGGGTGTCTATTTTTGCGGGGGAACCCACAAAATCGTCGTGTTCCTTTTGGCGTCCCTTCAAAAAGGAGAGAAAGGGGGTGCCCTCGAAAAAAGAAGAAAGGCAACCTCAAGAAACTCCTTTTTGGCTGCAGGGAAACCTATATGAGGAATCTCTGGGGAAATGACCTCCATTCCATGCCCAAAGGTTATCCACTTTGAGGACCTTCACAAAAAATGGTAGAGGTCCTTAAGGACCTGAAAGCTTGTCCCTTCACCTGGACTAACCTGGACTTTTCTGACACCTTTAGGACCAATCGCTCGCCTCTCCGCTCGACTCAAGGCGAGTTTTTTTTCGACTTTTTTCCCTCCAGGTCCCGGCGCGGCCTAGAAGCTCCCTCAGCGCCAGCGTGGCCGCAAGGTCCTGCTCGAGGCCGGCTCGAGCCGGAGGCTGGAGGGAAGACCAAGCACCCACCATGCGGTTCAGGGTTTAGGGCTTAGGGTTTAGGGCTTCGGGTTTAGGGTGGGATACATATATATGGTCAGGTCCCCCCCCATGAACTACCTTTTGTTCTTTCTTCATAAAAGACTGCATATATATATATATATAAGTCTATATATATATATATGTATATACATGTTGTGTCTTTCATATAGCCATATGTATATATGATGCTTTGGAGTAGGAAATCCTGCATCAAGGGATCATAGGTGATAAGCAAAACTCCTTAATGGCTCGGCAGTTCCATCCGTTGCCAGTTGTTCCACAGTTGGAGGTTCTAATGGGTATGTCAAAATAGGACTTCCTTTGGAGTCATGCTGGTTGACTTTGATCGCGCGGTCTGGTGGGAACTCGGATCATTTTTGTGTGTGAGACAGCCACTCCTTTTCTGTTGGATGGGGGTAGGACTCCTTTTGGTTGGTATTTAAAGGCGGTGCGAGAGGAAACACTTGCCACTTATTCAAATTGGACCGATTCCTGTCTTGAGAAGCACCTGTCTACTGTTGACCCCATATAGGGGGGTGTCCAACTTGGTTTTGTGGTTGGAATCAGGCCACTTGTGCAGGGGCCAAAAACCACCGGGTGGAATTGGTTGAGAAAATTATGGGGTCATCATTAGGGCATGCTGTTTTTGGGAATTGGACCCTTTGGTGGACATCAACGTGGCGATTTGTTGGTTACGCCTCGCACCAAAAAAAAACCGCCATTTGGATGTGTCTAGGGGACCAGGTTTGTGAGTTCTCGTTTGGGCTTTAAAACACACACACACACACCTGCGCACACACTCACACACACACACAAACCACACACACACAAACCACCCACACAACAAAAATAAAGCCAAAAAAAACTCGCAACAAAAACACACACACACACACACACACACACAAACAAAACACGCCGTTCCACCAATATTCCACCCTCTTCTGGTCTGCTAGCACCGGAACCTTCCGCTTCTCCTGCGCTTCGGCCATCGAGGCCGCAGCAGCCTTCGAACATGAGGTGTCCAAGCAAGGGAAAGCGGGGTATGATGGGGTATGCCTGGGGGTTGTCAATACGGCAGGTACGTCCTCCAGTAAAGAGGTTAGAATAAGGAAGGGTACCATCTTTTTTTCCGTAGTCTATTTTAGTAGGTTGGAACCCTCCTAACTAAAAAAGAAACGGCAGAGAAGGGCGATCCGATCCCGGAAAACCTAGGCAGATTGATGCAGATTCACTACTGGACCACAGAAATTGGGCGCTTTCCCACCGAGCACATGGAGGTTGATCATTCCATCTTCCGGGCCCCCTGTTTTTGACCATTGCAAATTGTTCAACCATTTAGCCGGACATATCATCATCTTAGCGGGTAACCTTTTCAACCATGTGGTTGAAATGATCATCCTTCTTGCTTGTTGCTTGTTCTTCTTTTTTTTCCGGTGGTCCCATGCAAAGGACCGTTTGATCAACCCCCACATGTTCAAGCCACTAACGACCGTATGCAGGGTATCTGGGCTGGCCAAACTGATCATCGCCTGCAAAAAGTCCAACTTGAACGGACTACACGGAACCCCCCACCAAACCAACCAAAAACACAACTAAAAACCCGAAGGCCACCAAGGTATATCCAGTTTTCGCTTGGGGGTTGGTTTGAGGGCAGTGAAAACCCTGTTTGTTGTGCGGAAAGCGCCACTCTTTTCAATCAAGGTGTGACATAGTGACCCCCAAAATTCGTGGCTCCTTTTAACCACGAGCTAAGAAAGGGGTGCCCGACTGACTATTTTGGAAACACATATGTGGCAGCTCAAGCTTCAAACCCACAAAGGATAAGGACAAGTTCCTCCGAAGCTCTTGCTTACGTTCTTGCGCCTGCGCAGGTGTTGCACTTCAAGTCTTCAAAACTCAAAACGATTTCTTTGTCCCTGTGCAGCTTTTGGTGCTTTCAGTCCTCGAACTATGACTAGGTCCTCCAGTAGAGAGCCTGGAATAAGGGTACCCTTTTTTTCTGTAGTCTTTGTTTTTTACTACGGAAACCCTCCCCCAAGAAGGGCAAAAGAGCACTACTGGGGGACCTAGATGAATGGTCTTTTCTGCAGGTTGCACTGCTGGAGCTCCCTAGCACATCAGAACCTCTGTGCAGCTCCAAGCTCCACAACCACAGGGCAAAGAAAGAGAAACATGTTGGATGGAATAAAATAATGCTATAGTTGTTGTTTTGCGAGGGCACCTGCTTTTGGGATTGGTTTGAAGTTGAAAACCATTTGGGATGCAAACACATACTTTTGTGGGCGTCTTTTTTTTTCTCCGGGGTGGCTTGAAGTTGGAAACAAAAGGCGCCATTTGTTGGGGAAGGTCCCTATATTCTTAGACAAACTCATATCCAGAGAGAGACGCCATGTGCAGGCTTTGGATGCCTTCAGTTCTCCCCATCTGCATCTTTTTTTGGTTATCCCTGTAAAGGTGTTCATTGTGCCTCTAGCTACCACCATACGATGTGCCCTTCTTTTTTTGTCTGGACCAAAACGCTCAGCCCGCGCCTCCGGAAAGCGCCGGCCGTCCACCACGGCGGCCCTCGGATCGAACTGTGACTACACCAAAGGACTGGAAATCCACCGGTGAATCTGTTCAACCTTGACTAAAAATTTGGGTGTGGCTCAAACATGGTATCCAAACACAATGACTCAAGCCTGCGTAACCGCAGCTGCTTAGTTTGGAGCCACGCCCAACTGGGAATCGGGACTACCAAAAGCTCGCTTCGCTTTGGACAAGACGCAAAACCCCGGTTGATGTCCCCCAAAGAACCCAGTGGGTTGAGTCAATCTTATAATGTTGACCCAGGATCTAAGTAGACCCGTCCCATTCTTAGGGGGGTGTTCCCTCCAAAAGTGGTCTGAATCCCCACTAAAAGGGGACACCCCCCTGTTAATCAACCAGGGGTTCTGCTTAATCCGGGGCTAACATTAAGTGCATTTGCTTTTCAAGAAAGCATACCCAGACCTGGAAGTCACCAAGTAGCATTTCGCCTGTGGGGTCTTCATGGCGTTTTACAGCTTGAAGCTATTGAGTCGAACCACCAGGGCTCCAAGTTTGAGAGACATGGGTAGCAGCATAGTCATGTGCGCCCCCCCCCCATATTTTTTTGGCTCCAGCTTGTTTTTTGGGTCTCACCCGAAAAAGAGCGCCCTCAAATAATATATACAAAAAAGTAGGCCCAGGCGGTGTCGCCAGCCCACTTGGAACCCTGGACCCTAGAGCCGATTTGGGCGCCCCCTAACCTTTCAGCTGGGGTCGCAAAGCCCTTTGGAGTGCCTCGCCCTGTCTACCAGGTTCTCCAGTAGAGAGGTGAGAAGAAGGGTACCCGACGTTTTTCTGTAGTCTATTTTAGTAGGTTGGAACCCTCCCGACCAAAAAAGGGCAGAGAAGGGCACTACTGGGGGACCTAGCTAAGCTTTAAAGCCCTTGGTGTCCCCCTCCCCGACCGTCTACTCCGGCAGGGAACGTCTATGTCCACGTTTGGCCCGAAATGAAGACGTCCAGCCCACAAAACAGATCGCCTTCCCATCGCCCAGCTTCTCACCATGTTCAACCGAACCCTCCATACAGCCGACTTCTTTCTCTCAGTTGCCCAACGGACCCAGGAATGAAAGGTTAACATTTCGGGGCCACGACGAAAAAAGCAACAACATTGAAAAACCAAAAGGTCAGATCCGGTCGATGCGCTGAAAGGACAACTCATTCGGCGCTTTGCTCATATATTTTGTTTGGGCTTCGGAGCTGAGCGGGCGGCCACTTGCAACCGTCGGCCTAGTCGATGCAAGCCGTTGCGATCTGAATCGCCAGTTGCCACTCCTCTTGGGCCACCCACAACTAGGTCCTCCAGTGGAGCGGTTAGAATAAGGGTACCAACTTTTGCTGTAGTCTATTTTAGTAGGTTGGAACCCTCCCGCACAAAAGGGGAGAGAAGGGCACTGGGGGACCTAGTTGACCATGTCTGATTGGGTTGTCAACGGTTTCCGAAACTGGAACTGGTGGTTTCCTTTTCACCTAATTCTTGGGGGTTGATTTTTTTGATGCTGGTCGATATTTTGGGGGGCGAGCTCCTGTCTCTACTCCTTCTGAATCGAGTGGGGTTGTCTGATGTCTGCATCTCAAAGGTAGCAGAAGTCTTGTTTCCAGTGGAAGAGATCGGCAATGTGGTGTGTCATTGTCAGTCGATATATTTTGGCACTGCATGCTTGAAAACGAGTCATTTGGCCATTGGTCAAACCAATGGTACCATGTTGGGGTAGGTGCACCATTTTAGTCTATTTGAGTGGGGATTTGGATGTTCACTGGGGGTACGGGGTTTTGACCATGGACATATTCACCCAAGAAGCCATACGCTCGCATTGCATCACAGCTAATTCCACAGAGCCCAACACCTCCGGAAAAATAAAGGAAATCGCCGATCACGTCATTTGCATTTGTGTTCAGAAACTGAAGTGCGTTGCGCCCAAACCAAAAAACGAGCAATGGTTTATCTTTCTTGCCCGAAGGACCTGGACTTGAAAGGTTCACCTTTTGGTGCCTTATATACAAATGGGCCAAAAAGGGAAAACCGAAAGGTCAGCAGGTCGATTCGCTTTGGGGTTTGGGCAAGTGAGTTCTACATACAGGTCAAGGTTTGCCAAACGGCAAAGACTCCTTCTCACTGGCTTGGCCGCTGAAAAATTGTCCGAACTACCATGGCGTGGACGCAATCCGATTCGCACCACTTGGGATAGATGAAACCGTATAAATCCATATGATACACCTCCTGCCAACTACAAAATGGATTTCGTCCACCCACACTGTGGATGGACGAAATCCTGCACCTCCTAGGAAACTCTGGTATGATGATTCCCCCTTATACCAACAAACAATGGATTCCCATGGTTTCAAAGTGGTGCGAAATGGATTTTGTCCACCCACAGAATCCGGTTCCATCTAAAAACGGGTCGCTGGTTTCGAAACCCTTCCAGCCTGCCCCTCAAAGCGCATCTTCACCTTCGTCCTGCGCTCGGCATCGGACAAATCGCCCTTCGAAACCCCCTGGTCAGAACATGTTCCCCTTGAGAAACTCACTTCCGATCGAGTGGATGGGCCCAAAAAAGAAACCGAACTGCTTAGATTGATCACTCATTAAAATGGTCCAAACCCAAAAAAGGTGACTAAAGTCCAGGAACTCAGGGCGTGAGGAAATGGCATGGAGTGCCGGCGCCGACTAATTACTCGAATGACCAGCCTACTTGGAAAGTGGAAAAAGACCCATAGTTACAAAAGTCCCAAGTAGACCCGACATAAAGTCCAAAGGCACTTGCTACGTGGGTTGCTAAGAACTCACCAACTGGGCTGGTCATCCGAGCATCCAAAATCATGGAAGTGGACGACGAGCCTTTGCAAAGGGAGGCCAAAGCCCGCCGATCACCCACTAGAAAGTGGAGACAGGTTCAATCTCTCACTTCAGCTTCCTCTTCGTTGGTGGTTTGGAGCCCGCTGGTTTGGGGGTGTTCCGGAGGGGCTTCCCATCTACCCTCTACAAGGACCAGGGTTCACATCCAAATCCAAACCACCAATCCAAACCACCAATTGAGGGATACCTGAAATCTCTCACTTCCTCATGCCCCCAAACCCAAGTCACTGAACCTTCCGACCTCGGTTTGAGCTCATCTATGGAACCTGGGGTCACGGAAGACCTTGAGGGAGAAATCTCAAGGCTCAGTCTAAAAGCCCAACCAAACCAAACAAACCAAATCAAACCACGCCAACCAACCCAAACCAACCAAACCAGCCAAGCCAACCAAACCAAACCAACCTGCCAAAGCAGCCAAACTAACCAAAGCAGCCAAACCAACCAAGTCAACCAACAAAACCAACCAAGCCGAATTAGCCAAACCTTGAGTAAACTCAGGGAGGGCAATAAAATGCATATTGCATTGTTTGTTCGTGCCATTTGTGCATATCCAGCACACGCACACCGCAGTTGGCTGCGGAAGCAAAGTGCGTGGGAATTCAAGGCAGTGAGTCCGGGCAACAGCGAAGCTCGTCCAAGTGTCAAGGGACTTGGAAGTTGACTGCCAACAGAGGCTTGGGCGATGGGACATGCGGCTTTCCGAGGTGGGATTTTGAACTCGGAACCCTTAAAGGACATGAGTAGGGGATCTATGTCCTCCCGCTTTTCAGGGTATCCTGGGCCAGAGTTTTCGGAAATCTGATAGAAACATTCGAAGCCTCTTCTCAGCTTCTTCTTCGGACTCTTGGGCCATGGGTCTCTTTTTTTTCCGGTTCGTAGCAAAGGAGCTGGACTTCAAAGGTTCACCTTGTGGGACCTTTAAAATGGGCCAAAAAGGGAAAACCAAAAGGTCAGATCTGGTCTGGCTGGGGGTCAAAACCAATGGTACCATTTGGTGCACCACCCATTTCAGAACCTATTTTGGTGGTTGGATTGGGATGTTCACTGGGGGATAACCGGGCTTCTGACCCATGGCCAGACCTGGTCGATTCGCCTTGGGCAGTGGTTAGCCTCGCTGTGACGCGCTGGGCCTGAGGCAGTACTGCACCAGCTCCTTCCGCGGCTCTCCCGGCCCCCCGACGGAAGCCACGGCTCCGCCCGGCGGCGCCTGCCCGCGTGGAACGCGCGAGACTCGCGATGGAACGGCGGGTCAGGAGTTCCTGGTAGAAAGGCCATGTTTACCGGGTCCTCCAGTAGTAGGGATTAGAAGTTGGTACCCGATTTTTTTTTCTGGACGTCCATTTTAGTAGGAACCCTCTCCCAGAAAAGGGGTGAGAAAGGGCACCTAGCAGCTGGGGGACCTAGTCTAGTGAACCTTAAACAATGAGAGAGAACAGATCTTCGAGCCCAGTGGGTTGCTGGCAAGTTTGTGCCGCAAGGTTTGTTCTGGGTCCCGGCCTCCGGCTTCGCAGCCAGCTTCCCAAGGTTTGGTTTGGCACCAATCCAAATCAGATCGGACCACCGAGCTGGGTGTTGTTCTTGGTTTGGGTTTTGTACTTGTCAGCTTGCGCCAACCTTTTCAAGGATTGCCTGAGTTTAGTGAGCATCACGTCGCTCTCCGTGAAGACGATCACTCCCTGCATGGCGTACTTGAGGTCAACGACGATCTTCGGCATGGAAGCCCGAAAAGCATAGGAAGCATGATCAACAGGGTAGATGGAGAAGTAGGAGTGCTTCCTCTCGCTTTCAGCTCCCACTCCACCCGGAACGAAGCCAGTCTTCACGATGTTCGCAGCGGCTGCCCTGCTTGTCCGATTCCAGGCTGATGTTTTGGATTGGCGGTTTGGTGGTATTCCGGAAGTGTGTTGCCCATTATAGTGACGGACTTCAAGTTAGAACATCGACAATTCACCAAACGTGCCTTAGAACGTCACACCTGTGGGTAGTTAAACAAAAAAATCGAGTAGCAGTTAGAACATCCAGGTCAAAACATGCAAAAGTCTCGCCGTATTTCGACTTAGAACATCGCGCGAGCCCCATGTTTGCATCCCTGGCCAGTTGCGGCATTGAGAGTTAGAACATTGGGGGGGGATGTATGGACATTGAAGTTTAACCATATTACATGCAATTCAATAGCTGGAAGCTACAGCCTTGCCCAAAACGAGAAGTCTTCCTGCGGTCCTTAGCCCTCCTCCCTCCGAAGCTTCAAGCCTACAACTCTGGGCCTCATTCCCTAAAACAGGGAAGAACACATGCTTATTGAAGAATGACTTTTACCTTAAGGCGCGGGGGTTTCAGTTGCATCTGTGTTGTTTAGAGGTCAGCTTTCTATTCCTTTCTAGAGCGGCAGCATTCATGGGGAGGCTAAAGGTTGGCTTCCTGTTCCTCTCGTGCGGCAGCACTCATTCTATTCTCACGCCCCCCCCCCCCCCTCGCAGTAAGCTAGAAACCATTCTTCAAACAGCATGTTTTTTTCAGTTTCAATTCACTGGGCCCACAGTTAGAACGTCGGCAGATGCACGATTGCACCCTAAACAAACCCCCCTCCATGTGTTTCAACCCTTTTACTATTGAAAGCTGCCGAATTCCAATCCGGACGCTTCCCAGTTCCCCCCCGCTTCTTGGTGAGATTAAAAAAAGTGCTGACGCACTAGAAAGGAATAGGAAGCTGACTTCGGGTTTGTTCAGCGTTGAGAGTTGAAGGCTAGAACACACGGAGGGGGGCTGTTTGGGGTTCAAGCGGACTGCCGATATTCTAACTGTGGGCCCCGCTAATGGAAGCAAGAAGACACCACATGCCTTTTGAAGAATTGTGTTTAGCTTAAGGCGCGGGGATTTTAGTTGCAGCTGTGGTTTTGCCCCTAAACAGCCCCCAACCTCAAAGTTGCCGATGTCCAGGCCACTTCCCAGTTTTCCCCCCCCCCTCCGGTGAGGGTAAAATGAGTGCTGCCGCGCTAGGAAGGAAGAGCAAGCTGACCTCTAGGGCTAGACAACACAGCTGCAACTAAAATCCCTGCGCCTTAAGCTAAACAAGCGTGTATTTTCTTCCTGCTTCCATTGACGGGGCCCACAGTTAGAACGTCGGCAGATGCACGGCTGTCCGGTTTGAACCCGAAACAACCCCCCCACCATATGTTTCAGCCCGCACTCCCCCGCTAAGATTGCGTTTAAAGCCGGACAAGCGTGCATCTGCCGATGTTCTAACTGTGGGTCCCGCTAATTGAAATAGAAGGAAAACACATACTTTCGGGAAAAAACCTTTGGCGTAAGGCGTTGGGGTTTCAGTCGCACTGTGTTGTCTAGACCTACAGGTCAGCTTCCTATTCCTTTCTAGTGCAGCAGCACTCATTTTACTCTCACCGGCGGGAAGGGGGGGCGACCTGGGACATCGGCAACTTTGACTTTGGGGGCTGTTTAGGGCTAAAACCACAGCTGCAACTAAAATCCCCACGTCTCAAGCCAAACACAATTCTACAAAAGGCATGCGTTTTCTTCTTGTTTAGATTAACGGGCCACACAGTTAGAACATCGGCAGATGCACGACTGCCCGGGTTGAACCCTAATGAAACAATCCCCCTCCAAATGTTGTAACCCTCTAGCCTCAACCCTGAACAAACCCAAAAGTTTCACGCCTACAAAAACAAGAGCAGTCCGCCAGTGGTTTTAGACCCCAATCTGAAAGTTGCCGAGTTCCAGGCACACTTCCCTGGTTCGCACCCCCCCACCCCACCCCCGGTGAGAGTAAAATGCGTGCTGCCGCACTTGAAACGAATAGGAAGCTGACCTCTTGGTCTAGACAACACAGCTGCAACTGAACCCCCCACGCCTTAAGCCAAAACTGACTTTCAGGAAGTATGTGTATTCTTCCAATTTCAATTCACGGGACCCACAGATAGAACATCGGCAGATGCACGGCTGTCCGGTTTGAACCCGAAACAACCCCCCCCCCCCCACCATATGTTGCAGCCCTCAACCCTTGAAAGTTCCCGATTTCCAGGCCCAACACTTCCAAGGTTCCCCCCAAACCCCACTCCCCCGCTAAGATTGCGGTTTAAAGCCGGAGAAGCGTGCCGCTGCCGATGTTCTAACTGTGGGTCCCGCTAATTGAAATGGGAGGAAAACACATACTTTCGGGAAAAAAACCTTTGGCGTAAGGCGTTGGGGTTTCAGTCGCGCTGTGTTGTCTAGACCTACAGGTCAGCTTCCTATTCCTTTCTAGTGCAGCAGCACTCATTTTACTCTCAGCGGCGGGAGGGGGGGGAACCTGGGACATCGTCAACTTTGACGTTGGGGGCTGTTTAGGGCTTAAAGCAACTAAAATCCCCACGTCTCAAGCCAAACACAATTCTACAAAAGGCATGTGTTTTCTTCTTGTTTCAATTAACGGGGCTAGAACATCGCCAGATGCACGGTTGCCCGGGTTGAACCCTAAACAATCCCCCTCCAGATGTTGTAAGTCTCTAGCCTCAACCTTGAACAAACCCATAAGTTTCAAGCCTATTTCAACAAGAGCAGTCCGCCAATAGCGTTACCCTCTAGCCTCGACCCTACACTTACACAAACACACAAGTTTCACGGCTACAAAACAAGAGCAGTCCGCCCATGGTTTTGGACCCCAACCTGAAACTTGCCGAGCTCCAGGCCCAACACTTCCCTGGTTCGCACCCCCCCACCCCACCCCCGGTGAGAGTAAAACGAGTGCTGCCGCACTTGAAACGAATAGGAATCTGACCTCTAGGTCTAGACAACACAGCTGCAACTGAAACCCCCCCGCCTTAAGCCAAAACTGACTTTCAGGAAGTATGTGTATTCTTCCAATTTCAATTCACGGGACCCACAGTTAGAACATCGGCAGATGCACGGTTGTCCGGTTTCAACCCGAAACAACCCCCCCCCCACCATATGTTTCAGCCCTCAACCCTTGAAAGTTCCCGATTTCCAGGCCCAACACTTCCCAGGTTCCCCCCCAACCCCACTCCCCCACTAAGATTGCGGTTTAAAGCTGGACAAGCGTGCATCTGCCGATGTTCTAACTGTGGGTCCCGCTAATTGAAATAGAAATAAAACACACACTTTCGGGGAAAACACGTTTTGGCGTAAGGCGTTGGGGTTTCAGTCGCACTGTGTTGTCTAGACCTACAGGTCAGCTTCCTATTCCTTTCTAGTGCAGCAGCACTCATTTTACCCTCACCGGCGGGTTTCTTCTTGTTTCAATTAACGGGGCACACAGTTAGATCATCGGCAGATGCACGGTTGCCCGGGTTGAACCCTAAACAATCCCCCTCCAGATGTTGTAGCCCTCTAGCCTCAACCCTGAACAAACCCAAAAGTTTCACGCCTACAAAAACAAGAGCAGTCCGCCCATGGTTTTAGAGCCGAGTTCCAGGCCCAACACTTCCCTGGTTCGCACCCCCCCACCCCACCCCCGGTGAGAGTAAAATGCGTGCTGCCGCACTTGAAACGAATAGGAAGCTGACCTCTTGGTCTAGACACGACAGCTGCAACTGAACCCCCCACGCCTTAAGCCAAAACTGACTTTCAGGAAGTATGTGTATTCTTCCAATTTCAATTCACGGGACCCACAGTTAGAACATTGGCAGATGCACGGTTGTCCGGTTTCAACCCGAAACAAACCCCCCCCCCCCCCCCACCATATGTTTCAGCCCTCAACCCTTGAAAGTTCCCGATTTCCAGGCCCAACACTGCCCAGATTCACCCCCAAACCCCACTCCCCCGCTAAGATTGCGGTTTAAAGCTGGACAAGCGTGCATCTGCCGATGTTCTAACTGTGGGTCCCGCTAATTGAAATAGGAAGAAAACACATACTTTCGGGGAAAACACGTTTTGGCGTAAGGCGTTGGGGTTTCAGTCGCACTGTGTTGTCTAGACCTACAGGTCAGCTTCCTATTCCTTTCTAGTGCAGCAGCACTCATTTTACTCTCAGCGGCGGGAGGGGGGGAACCTGGGACATCGTCAACTTTGACGTTGGGGGCTGTTTAGGGCTTAAAGCAACTAAAATCCCCACGTCTCAAGCCAAACACAATTCTACAAAAGGCATGTGTTTTCTTCTTGCTTAAATTGACGGGGCACACAGTTAGAACATCGGCAGATGCACGGTTGCCCGGGTTGAACCCTAAACAATCCCCCTCCAGATGTTGTAACCCTCTAGCCTCAACCCTGAACAAACCCAAAAGTTTCACGCCTACAAAAACAAGAGCAGTCCGCCCATGGTTTTAGACCCCAATCTGAAAGTTGCCGAGTTCCAGGCACACTTCCCTGGTTCGCACCCCCCCACCCCACCCCCAGTGAGAGTAAATGCGTGCTGCCGCACTTGAAACGAATAGGAAGCTGACCTCTTGGTCTAGACAACACAGCTGCAACTGAACCCCCCACGCCTTAAGCCAAAACTGATTTTCAGGAAGTATGTGTATTCTTCCAATTTCAAATCACGGGACCCACAGTTAGAACATCGGCAGATGCACGGCTGTCCGGTTTGAACCCGAAATGTCAGCCCTCAACCCTTGAAAGTTCCCGATTTCCAGGCCCAACACTTCCCAGGTTCCCCCCAAACCCCACTCCCCCGCTAAGATTGCGGTTTAAAGCTGGACAAGCGTGCATCTGCCGATGTTCTACCTGTGGGTCCCGCTAATTGAAATAGGAAGAAAACACATACTTTCGGGGAAAACACGTTTTGGCTTAAGGCGTTGGGGTTTCAGTCGCACTGTGTTGTATAGACCTACAGGTCAGCTTCCTATTCCTTTCTAGTGCAGCAGCACTCATTTTACTCTCACCGGGGGAAGGGGGGGCGACCTGGGACATCGGCAACTTTGACTTTGGGGGCTGTTTAGGGCCAAACAACTAAAATCCCCACGTCTCAAGCCAAACACAATTCTACAAAAGGCATGTGTTTTCTTCTTGTTTCAATTAACGGGGCACACAGTTAGAACATCGGCAGATGCACGGCTGCCCGGGTTGAACCCTAAACAATCCCCCTCCAAATGTTGTAAGTCTCTAGCCTCAACCTTGAACAAACCCAAAAGTTTCACGCCTACAAAAACAAGAGCAGTCCGCCAGTAGCGTTAGCCCTAAACAAGCCCCAACCTGAAAGCTGCCGATTTCCAGGCCCGGCACTTCCCAGATTACCCCCCCCCCCCCTGCGGTGAGAGTAAATTGAGCGCCGACGCACGAGAGAGGAATAGGAAGCTGACGTCTTACGATCAGCGCAGCTGCGACTAAAATGCCCATGCCTCAAGCTAAACACAATTCTTCAAAGGGCATGTGTTTTCTACATACATTGCAAACAAAGCCGTCATGTTGCGAGACACCCTGAAACGCAAATCACTGCAACATAAATGCATAGTTGTTCAGCCTTGGTGAGGAAGCAACCCCCTTCAAACGCAGCATACAACAATGGTTCGCCATTGTTGATGTTCTAACTTGGATGTTCTAAACAAAAATACCCAGACAAATGTCGCACGCTTAAATATGTTCTAACCCGGGTTCAGTTAGAACATGGATTCACCAAATGATGTTCTAACTTGAAGTCTGTCAATATAACCATCTACAAGAACCAGAAATTCAAAGCCGCAAACCAATCATAACTACCAACTAAGGCTTAACTGAATACCCACTAAAAGCACTGAAAAGTAACATGAGTCCCGCCGCCTACCTCCACATTCCACAGTCCACACACAATAATACTACACCTTGAGCACACCTTTGCCTTCCAAGCTTCATGCGATGTAACAGCAGCTCTGGCACAAGGCCAGCGAAAAAGCTACACTTGGGCAAATGTTGGTGCAATTCCCGTATTGTCTAGCCCTTAACTTCACATGGCACCAACTTTCTCCCAACTTTTCCGGTGCGCACAACAGGAGCAAAACTCACATCTCACTGCCAAGTGTTCCACCAAAATGTGAGGCATCAATGGAACTCGAACGCCGGAAATGAAACACTGCTTCTGCAGCAACAACTAACAAAGCGCCAAGCTGAGTGTTTCACAAGATCTGGACAGCTTTAACCATCCCTTATCTATCCCTTTCTAGTTTCCTTTGACGCCCAGCACTAGGTATGTTCTTGGTTCTTTGTCGATTTTCAAGGCTGTCTGTATTTCTGGCCAAAAAACTGTTGCCCTGCCCCCGCAGATAGATTTGTCTAGATTAGATACCTGGGGTCCACAAAAATTCCTCAAAAAAGGCGGCTATTGCCCCAACTAGGTCCTCCAGTAGAGAGGTTAGAAAAAGGGTACCCTTTTGGCACGTGGCACTCCCCCGATCGGTTGCGCAGGTGAGTTGGGCATGCCGCCCAACCGGCCGTGACACGGGGCAACGCCCCTGTGGAGAGACGAGGCTCCAACTACAGACGGTGACCACAGAAAAGCTTTGCAACATCCCTGTGGCCACCCCACGGAACCGAGCAACCAAGAAAGCCCATAGCTCGCTGAACCAGATGGTCCGGAGCGCGCAGGACGATATCCGCAAACCTCCCAGCAAGTTGGGAACAACAGGGCCGCACAAAGCGCCACGCAAAGCGGGCCAAGACCAGGCATCCAAACAGGGAGACTAGCACAACGCAGCACCTTCACCGGAAGGCGTTCAGAGAATGGGGCTATACCCGAACAGAGCCAATCCCCAAAGCAGGGATTGGCGGGATACTGGTACCACGAAGTATACTGCTGAGCCGAAGAAAGGACAATCGCCTGGTAGAGGAGGCTCTGACGCGCGCAAACAGCACTCGCAGCGAAGAGTGACAGCACTGGAAGTAGCCAAGGTGCCACAGGAAGGGCAGAAGAAGTCGCACCTGCTATCAGCAATCAGAGGACTGCCCGCGCCACTGTAGATCTGCACGGAGTCTGAACTGCCGCAAAAACTGCACACAATCCAGTAGGGAGGTAGCCTGACCCACAAGATACACTCCAGGAGATTGGCCACTTACCCACAACGTGGCAAGTGGAAAACCCCAAAGCAGCACAACGTCGTGCAAAAAGGCAAAAGCGGTCACCTCGAAGAAGAAGAAATTGCCCACCTGGATGAGGTAGATGGCCATGACACATAGGAAAGTCACCCCAGACCGTAGCACGCACCACCCTAACAGTTGCCAGCAAATCCGAGTAGGGCAGGGGCCTCCACGTTGAAGAAGAGAACGGTGCTGCAGCATGGCAAGCTGCTTGGTGGACGCTTCACCGGCACATGGATGCCTAGCAAAGCCCTGGGGGCACAACTCCCTGAGGCAAGTAGCTGTGGAGCCGAAATGCCTATAAGGGTACCCTTTTCTCTGTAGTCGATTTTTTAGTAGGTTGGAACCTTCCCAACCAAAAACGGGTAAAAGGGCACTACTGGAGGACCTAGAAAAGGTAGTTTGAGGGTCCAGGTAGATTGGCTTTTCCAGACGGTGATGCTCAAAGGCGACGAAAAAGGTGGCACTTAGCTTTGCCAGAGCCAGTTCTGGCTTCTTGCCACGGGAAAAAAAAGAAGAGAAAGAAGAGAAAACACTCGATGGCCTAGGGCTTCGGCAGTTTCCAAGAAAAATCAGCTTCCAATTGGTGGTTTGGGGGCTTGAACCGCTGGTTCTTTTAGAGGGTAAACGGGAAGCCACTGCCGGAACATCTCCAAACCACAAATCCACACACCATCAATTAGAGGGAAACTGAGTAAACTCTGGCATTCCTTGCATGATTTGGATTGGCTCCAAACCAAATCTTGGGAAGCTGACAGAAAAAGAAGCAAACAAAAACCAACCTCTGTCTTAAGATCTGTCGGTTCAATCACACCGAACGCGCCGAACGCGCCTGCGCCTGCCCTGGCAGTGATTCGAATTTGCGCGCCACGGTAAGGTCCACTGAATGGACATAGGTTGAGGGAGAATCGGTGGTCAATTATTCAGCTTTTACTTAGGTGCTATCCTTTTGGGACCATGACTGAACATGGACCAAACAGAGGAAACCAAAAGGTCACAATGTGGGCGTTGGACTTGTGTAACATTGCTTGGTTGGACAAGGTTCTAAACCCATGTATAATTTGGTAATTTTGCAGCCTCATAGATTCGCAACCCAAAAACGGTTGCACGAACTCAGACACCTATATGACCATGGGTCAAAACCCCGTACCCCCAGTGAACATCCCAATCCCAACTAAAATAGACCAACATGGAGGTGCACCTACCTCAAAATGGCACCATTGGTGTTAACCCACAGCCATATTGGGAAGCAACCTTTGGTTTGGACCACGCGTTTGGAGTCGCCACAATTTGGAAGAGCTTTGTGGCTCGTCCAAGTCTTCATCCACTTCAGGGTGGACCACGAAATCGTCAACCCCTAAACTCGGTTGCTTTCTGCTCCCCTGCTAAAACATCCAAGCAAAATGCAACAAAGTAAAAATGAGTGCGTTGCTCAGTCGGCACATTGCTGTGGCAGTTGGAAGGGCGAGCCACGACAAGTACTTGTGAAGGGAACCGGAAATTCTGAATGCGCTCTTGAAAAGGCCTGATGTTCTGCTGCCAGGTGAAGAGTTGTCGTCTTTGATTTGGAGAGAACGCTGTAGTCGAGGCGTCATGGGAAGGGGGGCGCGGTCAAAAGCATGGCCCCTTGTCGGACCCTGATGCCGCCTTCTGCTCTCTTAAAAGGGATACCAAAAAGGGACCCGCATTTTGACAACTCTCTCATGGCACAGGAAATCCCAAGAAAGCAACGAAAACTCCAACATGTACAGCCAAGACCACCGTTTCTCACCTGTGCCAAAGGATCTGGACACAAAATCCCTCCCCCCACCCACACCCGCACTATGGAGATTACAGTAAAAGGCTGATTCTCTTTGGAGTGAGGTTTTCACGCGAAGGTCGCTTCCCTTTGCTCGCTTTACCCTGGACCGCGAAGGAAGCACGCGCGGCTTATCCGGGACCCGTCAAAGAAAGTCAGAGGGGCTCAGTGACCGCCGGAGAAGTTACGAATCTCTTGAGGGACCATCTACTTTAACCGCGTAATCATCAAAAAGGAAACCAAACACCCCAAAAACTAGACACGCGTTCTCCTTCTTGCAGGTTCCTTGTTGCGCTCTCAGCATGGTGTAATTCAAATCTGCTGTTTGGAAGTTGTAAGCAGGCCTTCTATACTCGAAACCTTGCGTAAAAAGCCAATAGAAACCAAGGAAATGCAACTTCAGTTCTATCAGCTTACACGTTTTAAATTGTAAGGCTGTAAGTGAAGTAGATTTATTTTGCATCGTTACTTTGAACTAGTTGTTTGCTTGAAAGCAGCCACAAAGCGCCATCTGAGCTTGGGAGTCACATTCGGCAACTCACCAAAACTCCCACAAAATCTGGGACCCCCGACTTTTAGGTAAACCCTGAATTGGTGGTTTGGATTGTTGATTTGGATAACCACCAAACCACCAATGAAACCAAAAAACGTGTTGCATAAACGTGTCCAAAACTAGTTCGAGGCGTGGATCATGGGAGAGGTGAGCATATGTCTATATATATATATAGACATACATCTCGCTGTATATACATATATATATATATGTATGTACATTCCAAGCTAAAGACATATGTGTATATGTATATATATATATATATACATATATATATATATATATATTTCAAGCTAAAGACATGTCCCTTGTGCATTGATGGACCGCTCAAAGGAGCCCTAGGGATGTCCATCCGCCGCCCCCGCCGCCCGGGTTTCCGGCCTCCCGTCTTTCTCTGTGGAAGAAGCCTCAGGCACGGCCCTAAAACCCGTGAGCTCCGCACGTTGAAGCTCAGAAGATGACCCAACATTTTGGACGCTGACCAAGCTGTGGACCAAATCCGACCCAAGCTCACCTTTGCACCACGCTGACCAAATCCGAAGCAATTCAAAGAAATTCAAAGATGGACCTCATGGAAACCAAAGGTTGTTGGTCCATTCGCTTACAACTAACATGCCCAACCGAGCGCCGAAGCTTGGTGGCCCCGGCGGCCTCGGCGGCTCTGGCTCGCTATGTTAGACATGCCCAACGTAGAAAGCCAGCAGTGTCCGAGTATGGCTTTCTTCTCAAGCAAAGGCTTGCCCGTTCTGCCAATCAAGAACGGACTCGACTCGGATACTCTTCACCCTGAAATCTAGCATTCGCCTGAAAAACGGGCTGGCGGAGGTTGCTGCCCAGATGGTGAACCCAAAGATCTGGCAGATTCGAATTGACACAAGCCACACCAAGAGCCGTGAAACAGAAGGGGTCGAAAGACAAAGGCCCTGGACCAGAGTTCTTTGCGTTTCCGCCGTGAACATCACACCAAAAGGAAACTCACTTTGCGCCCAACAGGCGATGGTTCAACCACCAAACCAGAACAAACCCTGGTGGATCCTCCCTTCTTTGGTCCTCCAGTAGAGAGGTTAGAAAAAGGTACCCGATATGTTTTTTCGGGGTTGGAACCCTCCCAACCAAAAAAGAAACGGTAAAAAAAGGCACCTAGCTGGGGGATCCCCCCTCGACCAGGGGACCGCAGGTTTTGGTCCATGTTGCCACTTACCAGGGTTTTGGGGTACCTATTTTTGACCCACAGCCCCTTCTTTCCCCGCAAGAAACGGGTCCCCGGCGCGCCGCTCAGAACCAGCTCCTGCTTGTCCGACTCCCGTACGCTCTGTCGCCAGAGACTGGCGGAAGATGGGCGGTCGAACTGACCTGTGATCATGTGATCCGCCTTTTGCTGGTTAATGCTAACCACGCACTAATAAACTCCTGGTTGATTAATAGGGTGTCCCCTTTAAGTGGGGATTCATCACTTTTGGAGGGAACGCCCCCCTAATAATGGGACGGGTTTATTAATCCTGGGTCAACGTTAGGGAAATGGTCGTTGTTCCCTACTGAGAGAGGTCAAGCTAAGCGTCCAATATTGGACCCTCGTTTCTGCAATCGTTTTTGTTCAAGAGGTTGAACGAGTCACACCAAAGAGTAACCAAGAAAGAAAGAAAGAAAGAAAGAAAGAAAGGACAAAGAAAGAAAGAAAGAAATGCATCGGCCCCATCGATTTGCCTTCACACCGATTCGCCTTCGCACCTAAGACCTCAAGCCAGCCCACAAGCCAACCCATGAAGACGTGGAACCTCCCGTTGCCTCGTTTGTTTATATTAAATACATACATATATGTACATATGTGTATATATATATATATATGTATATACATGTTGAAGACTTGCAACCTATGAACATCACCCCACCAAAAGAAGCTCACTTTCGAAGTGGCAACCCAACAACTGTCGAAAACAAACCAAGCAAAAAGAAGAAACGGGATGGTTCGGACATATCTGTCAGAAAGCCGTGGCGAGAAACCGTTTTGAAGCTCCTCCCACGCCGTTCTCCCCGTCCAGCCCTCAATATCGAGGACCCCCAAATGTGTTCTGTTTGGCCTTTCCTTCAAGGTTGCCTTCTCAGGTTGGTTGAAACTGAGAACCCAAAAAGAACACCATGCTTCTCTCCGTTTTCAGATTCTAAAAGGAAATCACTGTTAGTGGGCTTCAATGGAAAAAAAACGAACCCCCATGAAACCCCAAGAAAAGAAAAAGAACAAAGAAAAAACATTGAACACCTTGAGGGGATGGCTGGGAAACGACGGAATACCGCTAAAAAAATGGGAAACACAGAAAACCGCTGAACAAAAACGGGAAACACCTAAAAACCGGGGGAAAAACAAAAAAACTGGAAACACCTCAAAACCGCTAAACAAAAAAATGGGGGAACCCGGAGCAGTCGCTGGAGCCGAGGCTTGGACCACCTCGCCCCTCGCCCGCCTGATCTGCTCCTCTACCCGGCGCCGGGAGGCCGTGAAGTCGCCCTGGAAGACCCGCCAGGTCTCGTCCAGACTGCCGCCTGCCGGCGGAGCGGTTATTTTTTGAGAACAGGGGAGATCTCGCCGGAAAAAAGTGGTTGTGTTTTTGTGTCCGTTTTGATTGAAAACCCTGGAGATCTCGGCGGTTTTGTCAGTTGTTGTTTTCTTTTAAAAATAAACATAAAAATGGGAGAGATCTCGCCCCAAAAGAGGGGTGATCCCAACTTGGGACCAAAAAACAAGTGCGAACATCATTGGCTGGTCAAAAACAATCTGCTGAATACTAGGTCCTCCAGTAGAGGTGAGAATAAGGGTACCCTTTTCCTAGAATTGGTACCCATAACGGGTTGTTTCACTGCTCCGGCTCCTATGGTTGCTTGATTGCCTTGCGCTCGCCTTGGCCGTGCCGTTTTCCCCTTTGCCCCTTTGCCGCTCGGCTTGGCGAAGTGAAAGTCTAGGGGTAGCTCCCATTTCCATTCCGAACCCGGCGATCCGAATCTTTTCAGGAAGCCATAAAAAAAACCCGGGCCCGGTGGATAAAACAAACGATGCTTGAACAGCATGGAACAGGAAAATCGACCCCTAGACACATGGCACCAGTGGGAAAATACCAGGAAGATCCACATCCTCCCAAAGCGACCTGTCAGGTGCCATGGAAAAAGGAGGTCCATTTTAATCCTTCCTTGTTAGAACTGAAAACCCGGCGGCAGCATCGAGATCCCAACTTCTTGGCCCCCGAAAAGTTTAGCTGGCTCGTGGCCATCTGGCTGGTCAATAGAAGGGAACCCCCGGACCTGAATACCCAAAGAAAATTGCAAAAAATCACCCGCCTCCCCCCAATTCCATGTTTTTCTTCTTTTTTTGGGGTGGGGTGTTGTGGGGATCCAAACAGAAGGATGCTTTCTTTCTTTATTATTTTTTTTTGGGGGGGGGGATCCAGACAAAGACCAATGGAAACATGGAAGCTCAGACCTGGCTTTCTGGGGGCCGATTTCTTTTTGAACTTTGACCCATCTCCAAGGTACACCTTCCGGATCTAAGCAAAAACACGAGAAAAACCCGGGGAGAAAAAACAAAACCTGAGAGATGCTCGAAAGTAAAGGCCAAAGCCGGCCAAGAGCGCTGGGATTTGTTCTTGGAGGGGCCCTCTGGAGGACATCAGAATTTGGTGGGGAGTTTGTGTCCACCAAGCATTTGGGAGGGGAGTCCTCATTAAAACTCAGTGCCACGCGTATCTGGTCTTCCTACCACTCCAAAGACTCTTCTTTTTTGGGGTTACAATTCTGAAAAACCAGGTTTTCAACGGTAAACATACCCTTTTTAGTGAAGGGTTGACATGATCCCCTTTAATAAGACGATTGGAGACCCGAAACCAAACTGTTTTCGCGGAGCCCGACGTCCAGTCTCCCCCCAAAATAGAGCTGTTTTTTGGATGAACCCTTCATGCACGTAGGGCATTGGCACGACCTCTTCCCTCTTGTTGTTAAACAGGGAAGCCGGAAAACCTGATGCTTTGGAACCATACAAGAAACCCATGCGGTTTTTAGCGGATCTTCATGTTCGGAAACCGGAAAAATATGTTCGGACACACCGTTTTGTTTCTTTTTTTTCTTTCGCCGCAAGAAAGGATGGGCGGCGGAAGCCCCCAGAACTGATCTGCCTGTGTCCAGCAGCACTGCAGCCACGAGCGCCTGGAGAAAGACATGGGGTTTGGAACCCCCCAGAGCGGATCAGGACAAATGGGTGGTTTGCTTCTGTGTTTGGGCACAGGAACAGAACCCCGGATGAATCAACCCCGGGGTAGAAGTTTGTTGCAGAGTGCCCATGGTACTTAAGTAGGGTTCAGACCACTTTTGGGGCCAAACACCAGCCCCATATGGGTACGGATCACATTTTGAACCACCAGACCGCAGGTTTTAGTCCTTGGATCCATTTTCCAGGGCTCCATTTGGGGTGCCTATTTTTGACCCACAGCCATATTCATAAGGGGCTGATGAATCCGGGGTCAACATGCGGGCATCTGCGTGGGCCAAAGGCCCCAAGATAGGCTTCCGACGGCACATATGAGTCGCAACTACCCAAATCCATGCGAGGAAACAATTTTCCAGGCGGCCAAATGCAACTATGTCTGGCTGAGACTGACTCAACTTTTCCCTTACGACCCTTCACCTAGCCAGGTTTTGATTGCGGCTCATATTTCCCACAGGCACCGACTGACAAAAAACCATCGCAACCCACTGAGGAAAGGATTAGGAACCTTCGAATGGTTCTGAAAGGGTCTGGAGCTAAGGCGGAGGCAAGGGTAAGGGTCTACAGGAAAGCCTTTCCTTGCATTGTGCTTTCTCTTTTTACCTAAAGGGTGAAATCTTTTCAAAAAAAAACACATCATCCCAATCCCGACCCAGCACTCCACAACTGCTTTTTGGGTCCAGTACCAAGGGGATCTTTGGACCAAAGCAGTCCCAGATGCCCAGTGGATTTCCGGGCAAAAAGGCGGGCCTCCATTTTTGGTTGGTGGAGTTGAATCCGGGGGAACCCTTCGGAAATTCCAGGCGGCGGACTCCACGGGTTGAGTTCGTCGCCATGCCAGGGGCCACCAGGGAGAAACGACCGAGTGAGCCGCAATCAAAACCGACTCGGTTACTAAAATGGTCGTAATCCCGGAACCACGCTTCAAGGATTCAGGCGGATCTCCGCAGCTATGTATGGCCAGGGGATCGTCCCTAACCTTCTACCCGGGTGTTGATTGTGGCTCAAGTGGAATCTCGGGGTCAAGTCGCAAGCGGCTCGCCGATACGTCGAAAGACATCAAGCTGGAGCGGTCGCCGCTCATCTCGCCGCTCTCGATCGTCTTTCTTTGTGGCCGAAGGATTGAATCGAGGCTCTGGGAATCGACATAGGTGACCTTTTGAATAAACATCGAGGGGCTTCCCCGGCAAATGTATGGCAATAAAGGCCATTTAAACCATTCAAAAGCAGAGGGCCAATGCGCACGCGCATTGCGAACGCCAGGGGCGATGGCAGCCTTTGCATCCTGAACCAGTGATGTGGGACCTCCTCCATTTAAGACCTTTGGGCTGTGCCCAAAAAGAAGGGGGGTTGCTTCCAAGAACACAAAATCCCCACATCTGGGCTATCCAGACCGATCCTCCGCTAAAAGTGAATAACTCTTGGTGGGTTAAATTCGGAAACCCAAGCACTAAACCAAGTAAAACAGATCTAAACACCTAAGGAAATGGACAGCTGGGAAGCGCCACGACAGTAATGGTGCCAGCTCACTGCCTGACATCAACCCAGCCTTGCAATAGGCTAAGGCTTAAGATGGCGCTGGAGAAGATGAAGCAACCTTAAAAGCCGGAAACAAAAACCTCCGAAACCCTGCTATGAGTGAAACCCTATACGACTGAAACACTCTCAAAGGAAAAACACCTCCGGTGTAGCCTTCGCCTACAATTGTGTCTTCGCTCACTTCCCCGTGACGCTCATGAATTCGCCCACCCGAAACACAAAACCCCGATTGCTGTGTGAAATGATGTTTTCATCTCAGCAAGCATTTCCGTTTTCGCTTGGTGTTGGTGGTCCGAAGGCGGTGTTTAATCTGACACGCATGTCAGCCTTGGATTGAATCGCCTCAAATCAGGACCTCTGACTGCCGCGGCAATTAGCTTGGGCTCTAAAAGGTGTGGCGTCCTTTTGGCATCCTTTGAAAAGAGCATCCTGCATGACCCTGCAGGGTGACTCCAAATTTGACTGTCTAGTGGGTTACCAAACAAAAAGGACATGGGCTGGTTCATTCCCGACTACTGCGGGCTTGTACAGTACCCACTTAAACCTGTGCAAAAAGGACAAGGGGCTGTACCAAACCAGAGTTGCAAACACGCTGACGCAAGGTGAACGGCCCTGTTTAGGGACCGTAATTGTCTTGGTCCTTCAGCAGAGAGGTTAGAAGGGTACCCGATTTTTTTCTGTAGTCTCTTTCGATAGGGGAACCCTCCCCCCAAAAAAGGGTAAAAGGGCACTACTGGAGGACCTAGTTGTGGTACCTAAGATCCAACTCCCATGACTACCTTGTCCCTTTGAAGGGATTTCCTTGGTATCAGAGAAAGCGGCCCTTTAAAACAAAAGGACCCACCCACGCCAATCACGGCTTGATGGCTCAAGTGCAATGGCTGTTCGAATCGCCAGCATCGCTCTCAAAGCTTGCCCCAAAAGGCCAGCGATCAGAGTGGTGACACCTCGTTTACAGTGGGCGAGAACGGGGAGGGCGGAAATTCGGCCTCACAAGACATGGGTGGTGTCTCTTTTTTTGGGTGCGTGGGGGAGCGCTCGCAAGTGAGTCTCTTTTTTGGGGGGGCACCCCCGCTTGGATGGCGTCCAAGAGAATCCAAATGACACCAGCCCCTTATGTTCTTTTCTTGTCTTTGTTTCTGTTGAGGAGGGTTATGCCAAGACAAGGTGACAGTGGCTCACAAAAACGAGAAGTCTTGCCAGTCTATGGTCATCCACAACTTACTTGCCCAAAGGACCTGGACTCAAAAAGGTTAACCCTTTGGGACCTTTACCAAAAAATGGGCCAAAAAGGGAAACCAAAAGGTCAGATCCGGTCGATTCGCTTTGGGCAAGCGAGACGGTGCACTTAACCGGGGATCGAAATTATATCTTCCAGGGTTCGATTGGGGCTTCAGGCGTGGTTTCCCCAGTCTGACCAGGGGTCAAACGATTGGCCCTTCAGAAGTTGATCTATTTACTCTAGGTCCTCCAGATTTGAGAGGTTAGAACAAGTACCCGATGTTTCTTTCGGCAATCATGTTTTTAGCAGAACCCTCCCCCAAAAAAGGGGTAAAACTGGGGGACCTAGTACTGGTTTCCGTTCAATCGATCGCCACCTCCGGACGTTTTCCAAAAGGGAAAAGGACGGGACTTGGTGGGAAGCGAGGTTCCCCATTTTAACAGGGATCCTTACATTATACACCTGAACATTGCCTGGTAAATGGTGGGTTCCCTTGAATTTTGATGGAAAAAGCCATTGTGTCAAATGGTTGCAACATGTATCTTTTAAGGAGCCCTTTTTAAACCTCCAGATTTCTGTCGGGCAGAGTGGTGCCGAACCCCGCATCCCGCATCCGCCGCGATCCATCGCGATCCACGCGAAACCTCAGAGAGGTTTAATTTCTGCCCAACTGGGGAATTGCACCCACAGCCATGTGATCCGCCTGTTGCTGGTTAGGGAAATGGCCATGGGTCAAAATCCAAATCGGTTAGCCCCCAGTGAACATCAACCAATCCAACCACTAAACTAGGTTCTTGAATTCACCGAAAGCCCCAAAATGGTACCAGTGGTTTTGACCCATGGCGATTTCTTTGGACGCATAAGTCATCCCAGAACTGTCAAAACTAGAGACCCTAAGGGTTCGGCTGATGTAGAATGCCCTTGGTAAACAGGTGGTTTTGGGATGTAATTATCCTATGTCAACATGGGTTCCCAGTTTTGACACACTCGGGTCTGCGATTTTTTCGCGCGTGCCACTAGGCCCAACTCAGTTCCTGAGTTGCTCCCAGTCATTCGCGAAGTGACTTGGATTCCCCTCCCGAAGTCTACTCAAACCGCCTGAAATCCTAAGTCTTTCAGGTCAGGTGTCTCTAACTGCTGGCTTCCAATGGTTTTCCTTTTGCCCGTTGGACTTCAGTTGCCAACTACACTAGGCAACCGGCCAGTGTTGTTAAAGTGTTTAAAGGATAATTCTCTCGGTCACCCACTACACAGGGATCTAAATGGAATCACTGGGCAAGGATTTGCGCTATGTCGCAAGCTATCCCGGAAAGGCGGAACAAGCTATCTTAACCAGATCTTAACCAGCGAAACATGGACACCATTGCCAGAAGTTTCTCCAAAAAGAGCCTGGTATCGGGAACTTGGCGGATTTCCTGCAGAGCGTCCTGCTGGTTTCCCATAAGCTTGCAGCTTTCTTCCTATGCCACCGTGAAACCACTCCCCGACATGATTTCTGCATCAGCCCCGCTGATTTTGGACCAGGTCGGGTCAGTTCCCCGTGCAACCCCTCGATTTCTTGGACCAAAAGGGAACGCTAAAGGCCTTGGGTGGTGGGACATCCAAACAAAATTAGCCAAGCGGAATTCAGCTTCCTTCCATTTACCCTCTACAATAGCCAGGGGTTCAAACCCCCAAACAACCAATCCAAACCACCAATCGAGGGCTACTTGAAAAATGCGGTTTTTAGCTTGGGGTTTCTCGCCCAGACTTCTTCCGAGCATTCTCGAATTGGTTGCTTGCTTTAAGGACCAAAAAAGACAACTAGTACCTCTCACAGGGGGAAACCAGCACTCCTCCGGTGGCCTTTGTGGCAAAAGGAGAGTGGCTAACCGCTAGCGACCGGATTTAACGCCGATCTGCAAACGCACAGCCCGGGTTTGATTCGGCGAAAATCCGAAGGTCACTGGAAACCCTTCCACTATTACCGACCAAACACAGTGAACAACTTGAGGAACTGGACGGATGGGAACCGCCAAGTTCTGATCGGTTCCCTTGAAGCGATCGCCACTTTTGGAGGGGCAACCCCAATTTTGGATGCTCTTCGTTCATTTCAGACGCCACGATTTGGAGGTCCCCTAGGAAACACTTATCTGACCCTGGGGCCAGTTGGCTAAGGAACCCTTTTGGACACGGCGCTTC